ATGAGGCAGAGCTTACAAGTGGGTAACTGGGAACAGATGGACAGCATCAAAACAATCCAATGTCTACCAAGTCCAGCAAAACGCGGTTTAAATGTTTTAATGAAAATACAATGGAATAAGAACTCCAAATGACCAAGGAGGTTCAAGATTCAGACTACAGCTTCTGGTGCAACAGACAAACATTATAAGTGAACTATTATGAATGTAAAGAAAACTGCATTTTGATTTTGAAATGTAAAGTGAAATTATTTTTCACTTTACAACAGTATAAGAGGGAGCAAACAGTTGGAGAAAAGAAGGAATTACTAAGGATAGAGTAAAAAAGATAAACAAATACATCATAGGTTTTTCCAAGACAAGACAATAATGCTACATTATACAACAGGTTTTATCGGTACTGGATATTTTAACAACAAACTCTGAGGTTATACTGAAGCTAAGCTGCCAAAAAATTAGTAGACGGTCAAATTTTCCCCAATCATTCTGAAGGGAGTGAGGGATGTTATGCATAGACTCCTAGCTATCTCTCACTATAAAACTGGAGCAGTTACTACTGTTTGGAAAAATGCAGATATAATGAAAATTTATATAAAGGGAGAATTGTGCCAGGAAAAAAAAATACCACTTACTCTCACTTCTGTGATGCTTAATGACTGTGTTAAATAGGATGAATACTCAGGGAGAAAAAGTGCAGTTTAACAGTCAACAGATTTAGAAAAGGAGCATCCTATCAAACCTGCAAGAATTCTTGAAACAAGCTGCAAGGGACACACTTCCCATATTCGGCATATTATTGAATTTTACATACGCTCATGCATACTCAAAAGGAATGTAAAGTAATGCACACTGATCTAGAGCTGGTTAACTAACAGGAAACTGAGTGTCATCTTAAGGGGCACAAGTTCTAACCAGGCAGACCTTAAGCAGGGATGAGCAGCAGAGAGCCTGCATCAGCCCAGTGCTCTTCGCAATTTGTTGGACAGAGAAATAGAAACATCTGGGTAAAATGATGGGCAATAAGTAGATTGGAAGGAAGAACATCTGCACAGATGTGGCTCAGGCATTAATAACATCTCAGCATGTTTAGGGTCTCACAAAAATGGTGGACAGGCCTGGGGTGCCTAAATTATGGCTCGTATGACTGCACGATGCAAGATGCAGGGGGCTGAAGCTTCTGTCACAAACGCAGCTTGGCTTGCTGACGTTTCATGAGCAACAGTATCCAAAGGAAAGACCTCAGCAAAGGACAACAGCGAATAAAAGCACACACACCATGACTGCGATAATCATGCAACGCAGGACTGCAAGTCCACTGGAGCAAAGATCTACTGAGCAGTGTAAAGGTGCGATATGGTCAGGCAAATCATCCTTCACTAGGTTCTTAACTAATAAATGTGTGCACATGGTGCCTAAAGAACTTCACAGATCCGAGCGCTCGGTTCCATCATGTTGTGGAGTGCATGTTCACTCATTCCCTTTGAAGACAAGGTTAATCCTAATAGTAACTGAATGGCACTAAGCCTCAGCGGTTAGCCAACAGTTTGACGAACATGGCACTACTGTTATCCGTACATCATGGCCTTTCCAGTCAGCACAACTGACCCCAGTGAAACATTTATGGGATATTCTGGTGCAGAGGCTTTGTCTGTTCCTCAGCCAGGCTCTTGGAAGAATGGTATTCTTTCAGATGCAGGGGGACTCTTCATACAGGGTTTATGTGGTGGTTACTTTTTAATTCTTCAATGTTAAGAGAGCATAAGTGGCAAACAAAGTGGGTGAAGGTAATAGCAGAGAGATAATCGTTTTGGGAAGACATGACAATCAAATTTAACATCAGTAAGTGCAAAGTGACCAACACAAAGTGAACATATACTATACATGTCTCTTGTCTGATTCAGAGCTGCTGAAAGCTACACACAAAAGGGATCTGGGCATTTATGTAGATTCTTCTATGCCATGATCAACAATGTGAAGAAACATGTCAAAAGCAGGCCAACAGAACCGAATATACTATATATAGTAGACAGCAAAAGGTTAAAACTCAGACAAGTTACACTTAAGCATTACCAACAACAAACTTAGAAAACCATGTTCAATTTGGTAACCGTACCACAAAGAAAAATAACCTTAGAAGGAGCTCAAAGAAGAACAAGAAGAACGAGTCCTGGTCTCAGGAGACTGTCACGTCTAGACAGGTTGAGGAAAGTAAATCTCTTCAGTCTAGAATGGATGTTTCCATCCCTACTCTTTGAGAACCCTAATGGTGTTAGTCGTGGTGTCACTTGTTTTTAAAGATTGGCGACGCCTGTAAAATAGATTAATAAAGCATGTAATATTTGAAAAGAAGAGACCTCTGGCCCTTAAGTGCTAAAGAATACTTAAGATTTCAGAAGTAAATGCTTTGTACTTAAATCATGTTTAATTTATTACAATGGAACTGTTCAATTTCTTCAACAACTGGTGATTTAACAGCAACCCATAAAACCTGCTAGTTTGGGGTCTCCACGATCCATGGTCTAGGACAAAAAAGACTGTCCTGAGATTGTATTCAAGTACATAAGATGCCAGGAGTTACACCTAGGATTCACACCAGTAGAGAAAGAGGACACAGGGTCAAACAGGGGAAAACAAAACTAAAAGGCATTTCATTCTGGATGGAGGAGAGGAAATGTTTCTTTACTTTGCGAGTCTTTGGAACAGGCTTCCCAGCCAGGTGGTTGAAGGCCAAACTCTGGGCACTCTTAATAAAAACAGCTGGAGGAAATTTTATTTTCACTTAGCAACTAGAACTACCCAACGAGCACAGTGGAACAAACAGCCTCCCCCAGCCTTAATGCTCTAATTGCTCATAGGTGCTGCCAATCCGTGGAATGGGGAGACGAAAGGTGACCTACACGAGAGACTGGAATGGGGTTCTCCAGATCCCTGTTGGAGGGACCCTACAGTACATCAACCCACCATCTACAGAAGGCACTAAAAACAAAACTATATTGTGCACATTTTTTCCTGAATCTACTAAAAGGAAAGAACATTCAGATTCTACAAATAGGCTTCTGTGCAGATTCCCGAGACGTAGGTAAGGCTTCATGCCTGGAGTGACAGACCTGGTATGTAAAGGGAACTCTTGTAACAAACAGAACCCATTTGTCCGTCTTTGTCCACACATCACCCTATACTGACTCTTTCGATACAGATGCCATAACGCAATTCCTAAAAAGGACCAATCCAAAACAGAAGGGCCATCCAAAGGATCAGGATACAAAAATTAGCTAGATCACCACTTCACAAAGCCTATAAAAGCACAAAATATCCTCTTCATGGGAAACACACATTTAAAGCCTTATTATCAGCTGCTCAAGTGTGAAATGATGACATTTGAAGTATAGCACCCTTAGCAAACCCCTTTATCTTTCAGGACTGCGTCTGAAGGGTTTAGGTATTAGCCCCAAGTTACCTCATACACTGTACAGTAGTTTCACATTTGTGGTTCTAACTGCAACTTCTTTCAAACAAACACCACTAGATAAACAATTAGGACCATTCCCAACCCCAAAACACAATCGCTAATATTTCAATGTTTAAACCTGTTTATTTTAACTTTGTTCTAGCACTGCCCAAAATAACATCGATTGCACCTTAAGAAGTGCTGGCATATAATGCATAGTTAAATTGAAATCGTGTGAACCTTTACCAATTGAGCATTTAGTAAAACCAATATTTTACTAAATACGGAAATCAATATAATTATAAAGTCTAAAAGGAACAAAATGGCAGCATTAAAGTGAATGCAGTCTGTGTAGCCTGCATTATGCACGCTTTAACTTCAGAATCCAGTTATTATCCAAGACCTCGTTGGTATTTACACAGGAGTGTAATACAGTCTTGTGTAAACTGAAACCGACAGTCTCTATGCCTTTGTCCACTTCTGCAGTGCCAGCTGCGAGATGTGTCAGAACACGCTTTGCTTTAAAAAATCTTAACGGTGGATGTTTTTCACTACATTAACATAATGCCCTCGGTGGGGATGAGGTCGATGTTGCAACTACAGTCGTGATTACCGCTGTACAACTGCAGAGTGCACGTAGAATTCTGCTGATTCAGCAACGCCAAAGTAAACATCACTTTTCGCCAAATAATACAAGTGCCTTATAGGAAATGTAAAAGCGGAATTATTTACTCCTTCGGCGATACAAATTAAGTTTATTTTGTAAATGTTTCAAATACGCCTTTGAATGCGCAAAGCTATAGAACGTAGCGCAGTAACAAAACGCAATCCATGTGTTAAAAGACTTTGGCTTGCCCGTTTCAATAATACAAAGCTCTGAAAAGCGTCTTACCCCACCCCCAAACTCAACGCTAAACGAAGATCTGCTTAAAAGTTACCGAACCACTCCAAAAATATTGTATTTAAAGTCTTGAACCAAACTTGGTATAAAACTCGACTGGGGATTCGTTTAAACGCCACACTTACTACGTGCTATATATTGTCGCACGCCGATTTTTCTTCCCGCAAAGGGATTTGAAATGTGGATATAAACCCGCTTGACGCGACCATGGCTTCCAAGTCTCCAAAACAGCGCGGACAAATCTTGGATTCTTTAGCTTTCTCAATTCGACGTTAACATTTGCAACCCAACTCATCCAGAAGCTCGATTTAACAACTCAGACCACTTGGTGCAAATCCTGATTTTCTGTGCCACACCGCAAAAGCGAGGACACTCCTGCTTTAAACTTAGGCTGGAAACTGTCGCGACTGACATTAATACTGTAACGCAACGGGGGCCGTAAGCGTTACAATACAGTGTTGGGGGGGACAGCTGACTTCTCCCTTTACCGAGTAGCGACCGGAGCAGCTCGCACCCCAGCGCACCCACCCACCCAGCCTCGCATCTCCGGGCACTCAGCTCTTCACAAACTTTGTTCGCTACACAGCGGGGGAGTCGCTGCAGCGCACCGGAGCAACAAAAATACCACAAGCTGCTTAATCTCAAGAGACCTACCTTCAAGCCAGAGCCCTCCCAAAGAAAATAACGGCTGCGAGCCAGGGAAGGGTCGACTTTTAACGCAACTTCAGCCGCAGAGCTCACCAACGCAAAGTCGCTGCTCAGCGGAGCTCTCCTCTCTCGGTCTCCCCAGCGCACAACATCCCCCGTCCAAAACGGGCAGTTTTTCACGGGCTGCAGGCTCAGCTGACTCCCCCAGCACACGCGAGAAAACCCCACCCACCTGCCCCGCAGACACCTCCCCCTCCTCCACGCACAGCCGCCGGCGAAGCGCAGGCACCACCTTCGGGGGGGACTCGGGCTGCTTAACCCGTTAACCGTGCGCAACCGATCTGCGCACCGGGCGCCCCAAACCGTGTACCCCCACCCTCCCCGCTGCTTCTCGCCTTCCTGTTGGTCTTCCCGGCCCTTCACTGCGATGACTCGGGATACAGAAATCTTCCTCCTCCCCAGAGTGTGGAAAATAAAGTGCGTCTTTTGTGTTTTCTATTCTGTAGAAGACCTACACTTTTTTTGAAAAAAAAAAATACTTCTGCCCCGGCATCTTTGCGCAGACAAGTTAAATCTATACCCCGCCTACTAAAGGGGTACACACCCGTGCTTTTAACTGCCTAGGTACCCTCCCGGCTCCTGACGAATCCATACAGCAACATGGGAAAGGATCGTGAAAGACAGGAGCTCTTTAAATGTGTACTGTTTTTTTTTTTCAGTCAGGTATTGCAACACCATCCCGGACTCCTTGCGTTGACGTAATTTATGAGCCGCTCACTCCCACACTTTCAGGGGTAGAGGCATCCACGTGATATTTATCCCTTGTATCGTCCATTTGTTGAAAAGCTAAGGAAGGTGCTTTAGAAATCATAAAACTGTTTTGTTATATTCTACTACATCGAATTGCATGGGAAAAAACATGCTGTTTCTGATTGCAATAATTTGCCCCGTTACACCAAATATTTCCTCCAAAGTTAATTCACACACATATACAGTACATATACTTTGCATTTGACTCTAGAGAAGCCCTTTCGTCTAAGGCGGTTTTAAAACCTTACTTTAAACGGTTGCACCTGAAATAAGCCACTCATACAAAAATAATAAAAAGATACGGCACTGTTTATGTGTTTGCCTTAGCTGCACCCAAATGTACTCAAATATACCTCTGTTATGTACAGTAACAGCTAGAACAAGCAGCAGATTTAAAGTGCAGGTGTAAACGACTAAATAATCAAAATGTGCTAAAATTTATGAAAACCTACTGAATACTGCATATCAGTAGCATAAATGTAAAAATAATACCTTTCTACATATACAATGTTCAAATCTATTCATATCATAGCCAGGGAATATGTTGAACTGCTGTAAATGCAGTCCTCTGTTATTGTAGTCTTCTGTCAGGTTCACAAAGCCTTGCAAAGTTTACACAAGTTCCTGGAAGACTTCTTGATTGCCTCTGTTTATTAGTGAGAGTTACAAAACTTCAGTTACAAAAAAACATCTGGAAGACATCTCAGTTTCAGCTGTGGTGTCTATCTCCAAGATGTTCAAGCCTAATGGCAGCTTCCTCACCAGGAACAGGACATGAGAAAGTGCTGCCCAAATGTACAGTGCCTTCAGAGATGGTATTTGGAAATATAACTCCCTCCAAAGGCCAGCAAATGGGAATCTTCAAAATACTCTGGAAACTCTTCAAGACTTCCATTCGGGGCTGACCTCATGAATTCGTTGTCTGCGGTTGAGTTCCATGGTAACATGGTTCCATGGAACAAAAAGGAAAGAAATGAATTTGCCAAGCAGCAAACGTGTGAATTGGAAATGAAGTGACTGCACAGAACAGTTTTTGGACAGTCCCACCAGGAGTATGATTAGCAGAGAAAAGTGAAACCCATGTTGAGAGAGAATCATTCCCCTGTGGTGAACCAAATTGATTTTTCTTCTTAGCTTTAGGGTTGTTTGAGTCCTGGAGTTCTAGCTGACAAAGATGAATAGACAGACAGTAAACTCTACCAGCATATATTGTATGAGCCAAATACTAGTGCCTACTATTAGCTCATGCTTGGTCATCAAATAGGGTTCCCTCAGAAAAATAAATAAATAAGGGGAGATTTTAGGACTGAGGAGGCCATTTTGCATTCTACAGTAGGTGTAGGAAAGTACCGGAAATTCAGTCTTTAATAAATCCATCCATCTATTTACTAGAATGAACACCTTTCTAGGAGTCAAGAGCAGTTAGCTTTACGTACAGGAAAAAGAATTAGAAGTCACTGAACAATTCCAATTCTGCTGCAGTGTTGTTATTGGACAAACAGTTACTTCATACACATACCTGCAATTCACTGCATTTATTTCTCACGTTAACAGGTGCTCAAGACCAAAAAGGATGTATACAGAAATAGTGTTGCAACTATGTGATAACAACAAAAAAAAAAAACAATTACCTGCAGGAATGTAAAACCCTAACAAAGCACAATTCCTCTCAATCAGCCTGGAGAAATCCGACATATTTATAAACGTAAGCAGGTTAATTGAATGCAGATCATAAGAGGTACTGTTTAAACTGAGATTTATAGCCAGTTATGCATTTCATCTTTGTAAACCAACAGCAAGAGCAGGTACTTTTTTTCCTAAAGTGGTAATCTGTAATTTTCTTCTTTTCCAATAGAGAGATTTCATTATTAAGAATTATTAACTCTACAAACTGTCATGCTTTGATCATTCATTTTCTTTGTTTGGTCGTAGTTTTCCATGGTTTATCTTTATGTTTCACCGTGGTTTTACTGCGGTTTTAACACACTTTAGTTTGGTTTTACCACGGTATACAGTAAAATCTGATTGGTTGAATGTGACCAATGGAATTATTTCTATAGATGTGTTTACATTTACCTTTTTGATATAGTTTTTTTTCAATTACAGTATATATGAAATTGTTTTTCACATCTGGTCGCCTTTCATCCCTGCATGTGAGAAATGAGAAACTAGTCGGAGGAATAATGCAAAAACAACCAGAGATCTGTGTATCTGGCCAACATGGGAAGAACCAATCATGGCTCATGATTCTTCAGTGTAGAAGGTTAATTGCCTGAAACTTTTCCCAGCTGAGCAGAAAGTGGCACTGCCATATGGGCTCATATTTATAGGAAATCTTCTGCACATGGTTATAGGGTATTATACATTTTTTCGTACATACTTTATACGAGTATGATGATTTACCAGATTAGTTATAATCTCTGTACAGTATATAAACAGTACCTAAGTGTGCATTTGGCATATACATAGATAGATAACACATGCTGTTTACTTTCTGAAAATGAAAGTTATAGATAATATCCTGACTGACCCAAAAGACCCCTTGCATGTCATAAAAAGAAAGTCAACCTTCAGCATAATCAAAATACATTCTAAGAATATATATAATTTCATATTTCTTTTTGATCATTAGAATGAGATGCAGAGAGAGGTGGCCTTGTGAGAACGCCACCATCTTGGTTCAGATCTCAGGCCCTGTGTTGTGGCCTTGAGCCAAGATGGCCACCTGTTACTTCTGGAGAAACTGCAGAACAAGGCATACCATTTGATATGTTAATGTGTTAATTTCCTCTTTGTATACTCCCTCCTCTGATTAATTTGAGTAAAATTGTGCCTGGTGTGAGATGAATACAGTATGTGAGCTTTTTGCAACCTAACCACAAGAAAAAAGGGCTAACCTTCATCAGTCCTCTCATTAGAATACAGCATCCATCCTAATACAGACTGTAGACTGTAAATTCACGCACAGCCTGATGTGTGCCAGAAAGGGCTAATTTATGTTAGTCCGTATTCATCTGAGCATGTCCAGAGATTACAGCTCACAGGAGCAAGCCTTCATAATGATTTTTCAGCACTGCAGGTGCTCCACGGGCCCTCAGTGAGCACATTCAATGGTGGAGCTGATTGGGGTCCATCTGTAAGAAAGTTTTAAGCATGAGAAAAACCTGTTGATGACCCGGGACATCAATGGCAGTTTTATTTCTTGATTTGTAATTGTTTTATTGACTTTCATAGAGAGATTTTGCTTTGTTGCATCCTTTTTTTATATTCACTACTTTGCACGTTGTTAAAATTCATGTGTGCTGTACTGTCCCTTGTAATAAAGATATGATTTTATGCATTATCTCTTTCAGCAGCATTCCCTTCACTTCACTCACCATCATTGTCAGTGAGCAATAAAATATATAGAGCTCTGAAACATACAGATATATGCATAAATGTTTGGCAGTGAGGGTGGTAATTCAGTCTATAGTCTATTTTCTACAAAATATTGAGTTCATTTTAAGCGTTTTATATGTCAAAGGATATATTGAAAATTTGCTATGTTTTATGTGTTAACTAAACTCACAGTGGCATGTCTTTAGTCCTACATGGAGGATTATTTTTTAGTTTTGAAATTGTGAAATGTCTAGCCCCTGATATTACAAATGAAGTATGTATGGTACAAGTATGTAGACAATGCTAAATGAAAAAAGTAAAATGAAAATTATAAAGGGACATTATGTGCTTGTGTGCAGTGGTGTGTGCCAACTCTTTGTCATTCACATTGTGGTGCTGCTCACCGGTATTTAAAAGGCTGAGTGCAATATCAAAGCTGGGATCAATTACTGAATTTCTCCATCAATGTCCCACTCCACCCTGTAGGCCTGAGACTGAAAAATGACAGGCTAGAGATGGCCTTTCCTGAGGAGATACTGTACAGTATGTGAGCAGAGAAGGAGGGACACAGCTAATCACAATATTGAAAGTGATCATTGTGATGGAGATCCAGAGCAATTAAAACACCCTAATGCTTTAGTGAAAAAGATTTCTATTATTTTCATACTGACATGAACAAAGCGTTTTTTCTTATTTTGTTATCATGACTGTGACAGGTACTGTATATATAATAGTCTAATGCAGAGAGCCTTCAGGCCTCAAAGAAAAATATTTATTTTTCTAAAACCTTTCTTTCAATTACAAGTTACTTGGCCAGTACTGGGGAAGAGTCCATTTTAATGGCTGTAGCCAGTTTTCAGCAGTTTGACCAGTGATGATTCATCAGTGACAGTCAAGCCTCAATCTGTAATCAGGAAGCTACCAGGAAGTGGCCTATAACTAATGATAATGATAGCAGCACTGTCGGGAAATGTCTGTGTCACTATTTGTATCAACAGTGATGATCAATATTTTTTTTTAAAAAGCTGGTTTAAAGCATAAGCAAAAAATGACTTTTGAAATGTAACAGCAAAACAACATTTTAGTGCACATCCACTTGGCAGCAGGCTATGATAGCAATGAATTGCATTACAAATTTGATACTGCAATGTATCCAATTAACTCAAGATGGATCCACAAAGACACAATTCGACATAGGTGCCTGCATTAACCCCTTAAACCTGGTTTAAAAACTTGCACAAAAATGAATCTCTTGACAAAAAAACAGAAAAGGGGTTAAATAAGTGTTGACTGTGCCAGGAAACTTTAAATAAATGAATACTGCATTGGCTAATGAGAAATATAAATAATACTGATCAAGAAAATGACTGTGTGTATATATAGCCAATTTCACCTCCTTCATGTGGTATAACTCAAACCTACGTTCAGCGATAAAATGTCTGCATTCAGTTTACTGCTCTCTGTAACAGATGTAATGCCATAAGAAACCTTCACCTAGCAAGAATGTGCTGGCAGTCCACAGAAAGAATTCCAAGTGTGGTAGACCATCTAATTTTGAAAAGGTGCAGTAGGATCCAAAGTAATCTTGAAGTGATGGCATGCCTCCAGCCTGACAAGCTTTGGAAAATAAAAGTTGTATTTGTGGCTGTCCGAAACATATGTCGGAAACTTCTTATTGAAGAATACTGCAATGTGAATGAGAAAATTTCTTCTTCAAAAATCTTCTTGGTTTTGTGCAGGTTGGCCAGGCTGTTAAAAGGAAGCCAGACCCTGAAGTCTGAAGACATTGCAGAACATTTAGCATATTAAATATCTTGAGGGCTTTAAGGAGTTGCAAGACAGATATCCTATGCACACAGCATTAAGAGTTTCTTTGATCAAAAGGATTGAGACGTTTACTCAAAAGAAAAAAAAAAGCACGTTACAAAAATAATAAAAACAGTTTCTGAACAAAAATAGTACTGCTTGAATTAAACATTAAATTCAAATGATTTTTAGAATATACTGTAAATACCATCAAATAGAATCTCATAAATAACCTCAGTTAATTGTGCATTTTACCATTTATTTAGGAACAAGAAAATGAGTCTGTTTTCCCTTTGCAGTCATGTTTTCCCAAAAATGGATGGTTTCAGTTGGCTCTCTACCAAACACCTACTGTAATTCCATAATTAAGATCGGAAAGCCCTTGGAGAAGCAGAATTTCCAACAAGCAGAAGGCTTGTGGGTCAACCGCAGAGGACAATGACACCAGATGAAGAATGGCTCCTTTGGTACAGTAAAAACAGCAACTGCAGCTCACCAAACCAATGGCAGATGTACCAGTACCAAGTACTGGATGTAACCACTGGCAAAACCACATTAAACACCCAGATCAACTCAACTAACTTGAAAAGAGTGACAAACACTTCAAAAATGCTCAGCTTAATGTCATACTAATATAACAACCAAAAGACAACAAGAAATGCATAGCACACATCACTTTCGGCAACTTTAGTAAAACCATTTTCCAAACATAATTAGCATTTGCACCTTAAAAGTAATCAAATTAAAACAGTTGACAAAAGTCTTGCACTTTTGACCTGCAACCAATTTGTAAATCAGCTTCCATACAGCTTTAAGTTTCCACTGTTTGAACAATCAACACAGAACCCAAGAAGATATTGCCAGATTAATGCCTGAATCATGTGACATTGTAGTACATATAGTATACAGTAGTATAAGAAATTTGTAGTACTGCAAATATCTCTCTCTGCGTAAAACATCTTGCTAGAGTGCCGGTCTATCTATACATAATGAAAGGGCCCTCACTATACAAGAATTCATAACAATATGAACAGATTAAACATTTTAAAGCAGTCTGGTATTTCAGGGAATCCTCTACAATTTCTACTGAGCTTTATATTGGTGTGTTACAGTATATTTATTTATAGTGGCTGTATATTGATTTATTATTTATTTTTATAGTTGCATTTTACTGTAATGGACAGAATGCAAACATGTTGCTGCTTAATTTTAAAAGCTAAACTTTTAAAATTTAAAAAGCTAAACTGACAGCAGTTCTAGAAACATCATACTCATTTCATACAAAATAATACAGTAATAATCAGCAACTTGAATGAAAAATCAGAAAGAAGGAGGTAAAATCTAGGACAATTTATAGTGAAGTTCGGTAAATACATGCTATCTGGATACTTTTTCACAAAAACAAAATTACATATCTTTATAAAAACTTGTGAAGAATTTTGATATTGTTTATTATGTTCTGTATTGAGGATCATGTACTGTACTCTAACTGTTGAGCTCAACTAGTCCAGTTGAGCTTTGGTGCTTGAACTTAAGCCACTCACCACCTCCTGCTACCCAAGGAAACAGCTGTGTACTATGCAAACAGAAACCAACCATCTGGAATGCCAAGACTAATTGGCTTTCTACATTCATTCTGCTAAGAACGTGCAAACAACAGGCAGCACGATGCAGTGCACTCTGGACCAGAATGAAACACCCCAGGGCTCAGTAAACATTGCCTGTCACCACACTGGAAGGGAGAGCTTGACGTATTTTTCCCAAGAGAAATGTCTTAAGAGAGTTGACCTGTAGGCAGCAGGACTAAATCAATCTCACTTGACACAATCCGATGCTTTCCTGTAGGGCTCAGCACAAGAACGATGTTAAAAGACCTGTTGTTACACCCTCTACAGCTAGAGGGCGATCCTACTCTGTCCTGTTCCTAGTTTCCCTGTGCTTTTCTTGTCCTTCTGGTGTGTCTTTGTGTGGGGCTATATATTTCCAGGTCAACCTTTCCTCCCGGCTCAGCATTGAGGGTTCGGATGTCTGGAGACCCGCCATGCACCAGTTCGTCTCCTCCACGGCCCAAGGGCATACCTGTAGGTTTCTACCTGACATCGTCCGACCTCCTGAGCCCGGGCTAACCTCCGCGTTGCCCATTTTGCCACTACGCATTGGGTCTTCATTGCTCTCCTGGCCATTTCACGGCATGCCTTTCCGACATCCGTGACACCTGTTGCTTACAGGGGTAGATATAAAAGGATTTGCTAGATCCCAGTTGGTCCATTAGTTATGTCCAAGTCATGAACATACATTCAGGATGTGAAGAAAAACCTGACCAAGACATAAAGGTGTTCTTCGTTGTTGTACCAGTATTGGGCTTAACAGTTTTCAATTGGTTGATTTTTAGCCACACATACAATTGATTGTAAAGAAACTCTTTCAGTTTATTCTTAGTTTTGCATGTACAGTAATGACACTTAAAATTATATATTGAAACCAATACAAACGCAGCAGAAGACATTTGATTTATATAATAAAGAAAGCTGATATTTTAATTCAATAAACTTTTAATCTGTGGCACTTATAACATTTAAAGTATATGTAGCTACACAGCAACTCTTGGCTTAATGTTCAAATATACATAAATAATGATCCTTTTGAAGCTACTGTAGCTTGTAGGAAAAACTAAATTAAAAGCATTTGTATGATATAAAAGACAAGCAAGATTATTACATTATCATATAATTTAACACAAGTAGAGTGGTTTACAAAGCATATTGCTCCATAGCAAAATTTGCTCTCTATTCTGTGGAAGTCATGTGAAATGTTTAAAGATAACAAGAGGCAACAAAGGCAGGGACAAGAGAATTATTGTAAAGATTTTGATCAGCTAAATTTTCTTTCAGAATTTTCACTGTTTTTATTTAAATATGTAATAAATAGAGCATATTTTGCACTAAGCAACATCCTTAAAATTGTTTCTACTATCAGTTACATTTTGTAATACCTACTGAACATGTTCTGTACAGTACATCAATGCAAGCATAATTTCAACTAACTTACACAACACACTTCTTTCTTTCCTAACATGGGTAATTGCACATGAACAAATACTGAACTCTAACTGTTATTACAAATTTCTATACAACATTTACCTGCATATTAAAGGAAAATTAAGAACAAACAATCCAAAGACACATTCCTAACCAAAGGGTTTTTCATTTAGCCTTTAGTTTTTACCAATAAACAGTTAATATTCTTACTGTAAAGTAATAGACGTCAACTGAAAACACAATTCTTTCATTTCAAGAATGACTGTTAAATGTATTGTATTATACAAACTATCATTATAAAGGCCAATACATGTTATTAACACATATAAAATCATCTAACACTGTAATAGTGAATTTAAGTCATCTCAGTCAAGATATTGTTTGGGGAGTCACTTTTACAGAAAAAAAACAACAAATGTTAAAGAGCAAAACTAATGAAAAGGTTTCACTAGGCTAACATGTACAGATATGTTGAAATGACAACATCATCTGATCAATACATTTTGTTAAAAGTGTGTATCACAATTTCAATCAATATAGAGTGTGATCTGTAATTCTATTTCTTACAAAATCACCCAGATTAATTGCATGTGTAAAATACACTGTAGACAGTTTTAGAATCTAAACGGTTTTTCTAAACTGCAATTTACTGTATGTTATTTTCAACACCTGTTATGCCAAGGGACATTTATTTGTCTTTTATGTAAAAATACATCATGTACTATGAAAAGGCAGCAGCATTTTATAATATTTAAATAGAGAAATATGGTGCATTGGAAGTAAATTTATGTTTATATATGATGTTACATTTATAAATTATCGTATAATGTTAAGACACTTTGCTTATCATACTTTTTCCTGACTTAATTGATTAGTTTATAACACGTAAATTTCACATGAACAGAAAGGGCCATTATAGCAGTATTTCACTGAATATATTCAAGACATCTAAGCTTCAAAGCATGGAACTACATGCTTTATCAAGATAAATTGCTGACATAGTTTAGATAGACATTTTTAGATTTTATAATAAATTGTCTTACGGAAAATACAATCCCACTATGCTTGCTATATACTCAAATTTGTAACAAATTAGAAAAAAGTATTGTTTCAGTTAAGGCTCCAAACATCAAACTATACATTCTCGCTTTACATAACAATGAATGCAAGATACGCATGCCTTTAAAAGAAACACAATTGTTTTTTTAAGAATGTCAAATCGAAATCAAATTTAAATGAAAATCAAAATTCAGATCAACAAAAAGGATTTCAGTCATTTCTTATTACTCTATACAAAGAATGGGGTTGATACATGATGTCAGTTCAATTTTGACTCCGGTTTTGTGGGTTGTTTTACTTCAAGACGATACAAACAATGGAAACTCATACAGAGGCTAATAATGATCAAACGTGAAACTTGAAGTCTTCTATAAAATGCGATAAATTAAAACATATAACCTTCATAGCTAAAAATGTAGGCAACCAATTCTGTAGCATCAGAATTCTAAGAAACTCTATAGTCAGATTTTCTAAAAACAGGTTTACATGTTTATCCAACATCAAATGTCATATTATACAGTACATTGGTAAGAGTTTAGTTCAATGCAGGGGGTTTGTCACCTCCACAGATGTCCACATCATGAGTAATGGCAGCACTTGGTCTGATCAGTACAAAACTTAACAGGATTTAAAAAGTCTCTTGTGTTCTATAGACATGTCGTGAACCATATCAGGCACTACAGAAAATACATTACAGTTCTGATGAGCTTTTAGCCTACTTTAAATGCATGAAGAAGTCCTATACTTCATATTATTAGAAGATTCTTTATCCCATTGTCAAAACATGGTACTAAATACATGAAAACTCATCTTCACATTTTAAACAATTTTGTCTCATTTTCATATGTTTTGTGGGGGGAAGGGCATATTGCGAATTCCCTTTAAAGTAGTATGTAAAATCTCTAAACAGAAGCTACAGAAATAAAGTGGTATATCTGAGGACTGAACAGAATCTTCACATTCATTTTCGATTCATCTGTTTTTAGGGATAAGTAGCAGCAACAATTGTTGGCACACGATCTAAACAAGACTCATCTGACCAACTAACATCAGTTACCGGTAAATAAAATCAAAACATGAATGTAAGTGGAAAATCACATTTGGCATGCAGTGTTATCAAAGATGGCTGCTGACAGACTCTAGACACTGAAATGAAGATGGCTCAAGAAAAACCTCTAGTCCTTGTGAACCAATTGAGCCTGTACTTTTCCTAGTCTTGCATTCACAAGTACAGTTTTTGAAAGAACAGGGACCTGAAACATAAAATAAAGAAAAGCAACATTAATAACAACTATCTCTGTAAGTCAGTAAATACTATACTATATTAACAGATAAAGGCTTCGATCTGTGCAGAAAACAAAATTTTACAGTGTGTATTAGTGCAGCATTTTTACTTTACCAAACAGGATGATATGACACTGTATGTTTGCTGTGCTATTTAAGTGGTATTCATTTAAAATTATAAAAAGATATTTGGGTCAAATTAGCACCGCAAATTTAATCAGGGCGTGTGGGCGTTTATTAATTAGGAGCTATACTATGAAACTACTGTATGTTCACCAGTTTCACTTGACAGTGATTCAGCATAGTTTCTTTCTGTAAAGTATACAGTTTTAAGTTGAAATATTTCTTGAATGATGTAGTATATTTCATAAAGATTTTACTGCCCAGCTACTACAGACAGATAGCAGATAACAGATGGATTTCTGGAATCAGGATGAAAGTCAATCAAAATGGAAAACAACACTAAAACATATTGAACTATGAATTTTGTCTGTTTCTTGGTACAAACTATTCTTATTGTGCCATTGTAGCTCGTATACTGCAATTGATCAAATAAAACCTAATGTTAATTGAGAGAAAGCATATAAAACTAACAAGCTGCTAAGCGCACAAGTACAGGGTGTCCCAAGTATAGGAAAAGGTGCACTTATTATAGCCACCCTGAAACAGTCACGTCTGGATTGCATCAGGCAGTCAATGAGAAACAAGCAGCTGTGTTATGAGGGATAAAATAATAATCTTCCATTACTGAGCCAAGTCCTTACATGCCTTCAAAAGCTGTACCACTGAATTATATATAAAATGGATGATCTTTATGAGATACAGCTAAAAAGAACCATAGCACATAGTAGTAATTCCCTCAAATGCATTATACTTTATATCAAGTGAAAACACAGTGTTTGCCGATTTTTATCATGAAAAATACTGTATCTATGACACATAATACACATAAAATCCAGGCCTTCTATCACACAATTATCACACAATGCTAGTAGAGTATTGCTATTACCAACTAAGTTCTCATTATTAGTGTTGCTTGCCCTTTATTTTTTAAAAATTATTCAATTTTCAATTGCCCATATCCTATAATTGCCCATAACCCTAAACGGGTTAGAGATCAGTGGATTTGCCAAACCAGCACATGAATATCAAATCCAACTGTTTTTCTACCTCTAGCAATGTCTGCCCCACTCACCTGTGTCGTCAGGGCCATTATCATTCTGAAAAACAGCTTTATTACAATTCGCCTTCCTGACCCTGTGATATACCTCTGTAGAATAGACTCTATTTGGATACAGTATAAGATTTAATAAGTTTAATTATCTCTGCAGCGTACATGGTCTTAACTCTGAAGCTCCAGCTGTATTCACGCCCACTACGTGTGTTTTCATGTGGCCTATCATCTTCATCTTAAACCATATTTGGTATTTGTTGCCATTTTCACCCCGTGAACCCCGAGTCGAGAGGATGTGAGGCGGCACAAATGTCTCGCACCTTTTTCAGGTGTGCGGCTCCAGAGCCGCTGCGGATGGCCTCCAGCAAGGCAGCCCGCGCCTGCTCTGGGCTCCCACGAGATCTCAGAACGGAGCCGGAGGGCCTCGCTTTTAACATGCCAGCTGGAGGAGGAGGAGGAGGAGGAGGAGGAGCGTGCGGTGGACGAAGAACGGCTTCAGTGCTGGGGCCACCATTTCCCTCCTCGGCCTTTCGGATATTCCCGAGCTCCTCTGCAGCTGTAGATTTAGTCTGCAGATCAAGGAAATATCAATGGTGAGTCTCTGTCAAACAAACTGGAGTCTTTTCTATTTTTATTTTTTGACAATTTCTTCAGGTGAAGAAGGATCCACGGCCAAAACGTTGTGTTCTCTTTCTTCTTTTTTTCAGCATGGAATAAACCTATTACTTGTTCCTTTGCAGCCTACGCATGCTGACGCAGCTACCCACCTGAAATAAAATAAAATACTGTTTTTGTATGAGACTTGAATGACAATCATGGGAAAATTAGAGATCTGATTACCTCATTACAAAAGTATTAAAATCTGAAGCCTTTACATTCACAATTTTTTGTAAAGGAAATAAACTAGGAAATTAAAAGCCCTTGAGAATTATTTAGATTTTCCTTTTCCAAATCTGATATTTCTAAGCTTTAAATCTGTGGTGCTGCTCCCTCAAGAAGCCAATTGAAGCCAATTACAAGATCAAGATTCTGGAATTCAATTAATCCTGGAAACACGATCCTTATTTACTGAAAGCCACAAATTCCTTTCATTCTTTATGGTAAGTTGGGCAGAGAACGTAGCCCTTAAAATCAACATTGTTTTGGTGTACACCACATCATCTCACTAAAAAAATATACATTTTATACAAACATTTGTTTTGGCTCCAGAGCAAAAAATGCTCCACCTTCAGACTTGGCATTGAGAAGCTTTGGAAATAACATTTGGAGTAATATAATCATCTTGAAAAACTTTTAAATTTAAAGGGCTTTTTAAAGCCTTATTTCTTATTATTCACCTGCAAGCAATTTCCTTTTGCTTTTTCTAAAAGTTATTTTCTAAGGCAGAATCAAATTATTTCAAGTGAAAAAAATGGGAAAGTATCTTGTGAAAGGAAGCCCATTTTCCAGTTAGATGAACCTGGTAAAGATGACACATCATACCGAAGTTCACTGATCAGGGAAAGACAGGAGATACACTAAATGAGCTTTTAGTTTTACAGCTGCTGCAAAAAATGTACTTAATCAGATTTGAAGGATGATAGTCCTGAACATTTTTATCAGTGCGCTTCCATACATACATATTAGGAATATCAAAGTAGTATTGGTCTTGTCGAACAAAAATGGTACTAATAGATACCTCTATTTCCATATGGGTTCCTGTGAATGGTCTCACCTTTCTAAGTCTTGAAGAGTTACTTTGAGCTCTAATTGCTGCCAAAAGTGCAGCCCGTTCATTTTCTGCCTCAACAAAGGAAGGCTTCTTCTGAGTGGTTTCCCCTGTTGTAGCCGTTATCTGGGACAAAAAGGAATTAGAAAGCTATAACTAGCGAGCCACCTCTTTCACCTCATAACACACAAGAGAATTCATTGGGATCCATTAATGGGGAGTGCAGCAGAATTATTTAAAATTCTATAGGCTCCAGACTATGATGGCAGCCTACAACATACAGTAGTGCCTGGTCCAAAATGCAAGTAGCAGATCTCACTTTCGCTATCAGATCACACAGAAGTAACAACGGAGACAAACTAAAATGTATGAAAATACAGGAGTGGGCATAATGACAGCAGGATGTGCTGACATTGGTGGTAACTAGGTGTCATACATGTTATTGATGGTATAAAAATGACTGAACCTATTTCAACAATACTAGAATAGAAGGAGCTTCTGGCCTACATAAGGCCACCTTTGGAAATGGTCAACTGCCTTCATTAAATGCAAAACAAACTGAATTTACATTAAATGGGGGTTTCATCATCTTCTCCATTAAACCTTTACTTTACACTTTACAGGTCATAGGTAGGAAATAACCACACGTTAGGTCTCATACTGTATATGAAAATACTCATGTCCTGGGAAAATGTAAAGCATCCAAGAAGTTAGAATAATCCACATGCAAATTAATTATACTGCATAACGTAGAGATGCTCAATGGAATTTTACAGCTTGATTCTTGTTGTAAAATATAACAGCCCTTTCATTAAATTTTAAAGTTAAGCTTAGTCATGAGAGTGGTCACTGAAAAGATTTATGAGCATAGATGTAGACGTCTGATTAATTCTGTGATGTTCAGGGATTGCTCCTGCAGTTCACTAAGCACTTTGGAAGCCATTGTGGAGACAGCCATTTCCAATTAAATAGGCCAGGTAGATATCATAACTTTTAAATGCACATTTTATAACAAATTAAATGTGGACACAATCTTCTAAGTCCATTAACAGCACCTCTATGCATATTAAAATGTCTTGTGATATGTAAAAATTGGGAATTCTTACTGCAGTTAGTCTAATCTTTGATTGCACCTCTTTTTTTCCAACAACTATTACAGTATACCAGTGTTGTAACTAATTGTGTTAAAGCAAAGAACGAAAGTTAACTTCAAAGTTATTAAGCAACCTCAACTAACTGAACAGTACATAAAAGTGTGCACTGCAAATAAAGCTCAACAAAGTGATTATGTGGTCTCTGGAAGTTCTCTATCCCAGTTATGTGCATTTTGCTTTGACTGTAATCAGCAAATGCGTGTTTCAACAATATTGAATGAAGACCATGTATAATCATTCTCACCTGTACGGTTTCTTATGCTGGAAACCATATGTGATATTGCAGACATTTACTGTTAATTCAATCTTATTTTGTTGATTTACAAAACATGGAGCGTTAGCGGACAATAACACTGACAATATGAAACAAGGTATAAAATCTATTACAACTTTAAAGAGAGTAGAAACAGCCTACAAGCCCTTTACTATGTTATTGATTAAATGTTATCACATAAAAATAAAACAGTCACCTGACACTAAAATTGATAGTTTGCTCAATTATTACGATGTTATGAAGATTTACCTTTCTGAGTCTTTCCTTTCCATCACCAGACTGGATAGCCTCCATTAGTGTGCTGTGTAATGAGGTTTCAATCTGTATTGACTTCAAGGTAACAGGCTTGAACTTTCTGACTGGCCCAAATATATTGACGTTAGTTAGATTATTGAATTCTGCTGGTGGACGCTGGGAATCTCCTTCTGTTAGTTCTGAAATATCTTCCTTAACAGTTTGCTTGATTAAGGGGTTGTGAATGGGCCTAATAAAAGATGATTCTAATCTTGAAGCATCATTTTGTAACTGCAGAGTTCTATATGATTTTTGAAGAACACAAGAATTGCATGCCTGAGACTCTGTGAGCCTGGTTTTTGCAATTTCCTCATCTGAGACAGCGCTTTTTTCATTATAAAGATTACTGTTCCCACTAGCATTGTTTTTCTCCTCCACAGAAACACTTTGTTCAAAAGCAGTCTTATTCAATTGGTACTGTGATACCTTATGATTTGAAAAACTCTGTGATTGTATTGGAGTTAAAGCCAGTATGTCTGACTTAGTCTCTTTAGTTTTAGATATCTCTGCAGAAATGTGAGTGTGCTTAGTGTAGTTTGTTTCAGGGTAAGTGTATCTGTTTTCATTTGGAAAAACGAGTTTGACTGGAGATGATGATTTACAGGCTTTAGAATCTGGAATAGTGATGCGACCTTGTGTGAGTTCAAGTTCATCGTTACAAGAGCCGCCTTTGGCTGTAGGCATTCTAATGGCAGATTTCACAATTGCGGAAGCTACATACTGACTGGATGTCCTCCTGGAAGGCTTCAGAAAAGAGAGGTCATTCTTAACCTCTGTCTTCAACATTGGTTTCAAGGACTGTTGCATGAGCTCTGGAGTCAGAAGCTTGTTTTTGCCTCCTGGTTTACTGTGAGGAATACCGGTTGAAACTTCCTCTTTTACAGCATTATTTACTGATTTTGCTTCTGTGGCAAGTTTTTGTCTTTGGACAGGCTCTGCGAGGGGAGAGTCATAGTCACCCAGGTCTCTGGTTTTTGTGAGAGCTCGTCTGCTAGTGTTGTCCGACTCATGCTGCTCTGCTGAGCTCCAGAAGGCCTTGGCTCTCCGAAGAAGAGATTCTTCTGAGTCATTGCTAGAACACAATGAACCATTATTCCTGTTTTCAGAATCATCTGGCTTGATGAGATTACCCTGAGCATCGATCTTTATGGCTCCGATGACTAATGATCCACCTGGCTTCTGGTTCTGACTCAGGGCAGGTTTCAGTGGAACAACAGTGAAAGTTTTCATGCCAACCCGTGAAGCACAGCTCTGTGGTATTTTACTCTGGGTTATCTGCCGCCTAGTGGATGCAAGAGACTCACTGTTTCCATGGGATTCCCTGGGTTCATACTGGTTTACAGATTGGAGTTTGGGAGTCTCTTCGTTATCAGTTTTAATTTTCTGTATTTGGGAATTAATCCGATCTGTAGGAAAGTCATTATCTCTCTGTGTGCCAAATTGGATTTCTGTCACTGGAACAGTACAGCACTTTTCTTCTGTATAATAACTAGAACTGGACTGTTTAATTGACTTTAAATTATCATGATCTCTAGGAGACTGAACTGCAGCTGTGACAGCATTGTTGTTTTTGTTTTCTAGTTCACTGCTTATTTTAAAACTACTGGCATATTTTCCATTGATTGTTTCTTCTGTCTGTGATGAGACTATCTCATAATTTGTTACACTGCATCTGTAATCCTCATAGACTTCATCTATTGTTGTTACTGGCACTGCCATGTCTACATCAGAAACAGGTATTTCACAAGGGTAGGTGAAACCCACTTTGTCCATGGAATATGTTGATGATTTGGAGGTTAGATCTGTATGTTCAACATCTGTTTTTAAATTTGAAAAAAGCAAAGAGAAAATAAACATGCAATTAGAGATTCTGCAAATTGATGTTTCTCTGTTTTAAATATGGTGCTTTATGTTTTCACTTGTATCTTTTAAAAGCCACATATGTATATTACATTTAATACAGTTAAAGTCCTGTAACATGAGATTTTACAAATACACTGTAAAAGTATTACTGCTTTAGCAGGATACCTGTGCCCTCATTATAAAGCTTCGTATTATGAAAGAGTTCCTAAAATGAAAACATGCAACAAACAATCTTTGTTTAATATAATTCACCAGACACAAAGTGGCATGAACAGATGTGTGTCAGCAGGTGATGCACACTTCTGACACAATTAGAAAAAAGATATATATATATGAATAAATAGATCATTGACTCTGATAACTACTAAGTGCTTTATATAGACAAAAAAAAATTCTACCTGCTAAATCAGCATCCAGGTCTGCTAGGGTCTGATGTAACTGAGCTGTGAGGTCCAGGTCTTCATCATACTGATCACACTTTATGCCTGCTGTGGTCTGATTGGGGTCAAAATCACTGCTGTGTCTGTGAGTTGGGAAAATGAAAACATATAACCATTACATCCCCCATGTCTGTGAAGCAACATTTGTGACTTGAGCTTTTCATTGTTGCAGTGTGGGGTCTGTGGACACAGCGACTCACTTTTTAACATGTATCAAAACTATGAAGGCCTTTTAAACAAATTTAAAAATTATGAATAGACTGTGCTTGATTAAAAAATAAAACAGACTACTTGCAAGGAAAATCTGGCTTTGCCAAATTCCAGAAATTGTATTCTGGACAAAAGCCCGGTAAAGAGATTAGAGGCCAAGCTGGAAAAAGCCCCACAAATCAAACAGAAACAAAACAAATCACAGCATTAAATAAAATGAAGGATGCTAGTAGTTTCATTTTAAATTTAATAAGTATGGCAAACTTTTCAGTTTTGTTTATACATTTCTTTCAAATTTGCCTCACCGTAGCATGTTAGCATAGCGTAGACTACTTTCCTGTTAAAACTAGCCACAATTTCCCAAAACCTGTTTGCAAATTCTCAATCATGGAGTCTTCTACGGATACTGTGTAAAGTCCTGGGGCAGCTGTAAACATAGACGTTTAAAGTGTAGCTTTTAACCCTTGCAAGACTTCAGCACACACTACCGCTTACTGTACAGTTAATTTCCAGTTCTTGTAAGAAATTCAAGCCTGTAGTGTATAAGAATATAACAGAGTGCTACAATAAAAATGGATCCATGCACACACTCAGTCTGTAACACGGAGGTTCTGAAGTTTGCAAACAGTGTGCATACATTTAGCTGACAAGGCCACCCAGATTCTTTATCTCTTACTGATGGTTAGGACTTTGGTTATTATCCAGCAAAAACACAGCTTGTCAAATTTGCAAGCAAGTCAAATATCCTGTATGTTCTCAGGTTCAATGTTTTAGGCAACATAAATCAGTTTAATCATAATAAAACACATTACATTTTTGTGACCTCTGAAAGGACTACAAAAGCTTTGTTTGTACGTACACCCACGCACACAGAGTAGGTCTGATTGAATGATTGAGGTAATTTATAATCAGCACAAGGGAACAGAAAAAAATATTAAATAAACCTGTTTTCCTTACAAAATAACTTTAACTCCACATTCAGACCTTTAGTATAGACTCCAATAACTGGACTGGATCTCCCTTATGACCTTTATTTTGATTAATTGGAATTCAAAGTACTTATTGGATTAGACTTCCTTTTGACAACAGGTTTGAATGATAAAATGCATAACACTACAGCATTTAAACAAAAGAAATATAAGAATAACAACATACAAACTATGACTATTCCAGAAATTCTAATGATATAACTGGGCAGCAACAATATGTCCAAAAGGCATCTTTATGTACACCCAACTTTATAAAAAATTAAGAGGCTGAGAAACTATGGTTCTCATGGTTGTAATTTAGACATTTTAGTCCTGGCTATTTAGTTTCTTAACTGAAAGATTTTTTTGATCAGTTTTGCACCAGTCATTATCTATATGTGAAGAGCAGCATTACACAAAGATATTAACATGTATAGAAATTTGGTAGCAATTGGTTTATACACAGACAAGAACAATTTATCATGTTATTGCATTCTTGAATTGGTCTTAATTTCATGACTGTGTATACAACATTGTATACAGTATATTGTATCTATTGCATATACTTATACAAGCCATTATGTCGATTTTCTTCCCCACAAGAATGCAGAATATAACAATTCATTTTGCAGTAGGATTGTTTTGTTTTTGGTTCAACTTAATTTCTTAACAGCTACATCATTTCACTTGTCTGTGGAATAACAGGCCATATAGGAAGTGCTTGATACTAAACAGACATGGCATATCAGTATGTTAAGGCTCATGAAAATTATATTGGTGTAAGTCATCATTCATAATTCATAAGATAACAGGACAGGAATTTTTCAGTTTTCAGAGTAAAAGAAAATGCACATATGCATAAAAGCTGTTGTGTTGGCAGTCCTATGAAACCTGAGTTGCCAAACGAGAGTGCATACTTTTGCATTATGAGATACAGTATCTGATATGGACTGTATTATGAGTGGCTAAACGCCAGATGCCAATGAATCAGACTGCACATTAAAATGTGCCTTGCTACAACATGTATTTAAACACTTCCGAGTTCATTCAGAAGGACGTCAAGCTTGGGATTCTGGGGGGAAGCGGGACTTTCAGTACCTGCTGTGAGATCTCCACGCAGGGACGCCTTCTTCACTGTCGCTGGCAGAGTACTCAGGAGCGGCACAGCAGGAGGCCTCGGTGCTGCCGGAGCACTGACCCTGGGACAGCTGCCACCCCATTCTCAGGCTTCCCTCGGGTGAGGCGGGGTGCACGACATCGGACGGCGAGCTGACTATCCCCGAGTCCTCTGCGGTGCCTTCTGAAGCAGTGCAGGCATCATCAGGGAAGCTGCTGCTGCTGCCCATGGAGACGGTCTCTTCCTCTAGCCCAGCCAGGCCCCGTGGCTGTGTCCCCATCTTCTGGAGCAAACAGCTCTCCTGCATAGACCTCAGCCAGGCTGCACAAGGAGAGGAGGAAAGCCCCCTTAAAATCCACCCCACTTCACTCCACTGTGAACAACAGTGCCGGATGGAAAATGCTTTTTTTGCTTTGCATTTTAAAATGATTCTCAGATCTACAGACCAAAACTAACTTCACCCACATCAGACAGAAATAAATCAGGCTGAAATGTGAGGCACGTTGTTGCAAATGCACACCTTTTCTGTTTAGTTTGTAAAATTACTAAAATAAAATGATGAACTTAGAAGATAAATTTGGGAGAACAGTTATTTTAAGGAATGGAAATCTGTTATAACTTTAACTGGGTCAAGAAGAGCTTCAAAAACATATACGTGAAAAATTAGTGTTCAATATAGTCTACGTTTACAGTTAAAGATTATTACTTTAGGATTCAGGCTGTGATGCCGGCATCATTCTTAAGTGTAAAGTGTATGCTTGGTATGTAGGTCAATTAACCAGATCATACCTGATTGTGAATCCTAAGCCTGGATCAAATCGCCAAACACACATTACAATCCCAATGCTAGATGGCACTTTTCCTTTGGGTAGAAGAAAAAAGTCTCTTGCAAAACAAAAAGCCACCTCCAAGTACTGGGTTTACTGTTTGTGACTGGTGGATCACAGTTTTGATTTGGTCCAGGCCCTAGTTTACATTACACTGGATTTAGTGCATTTTCCAGCACAGCTGAAAGCTTTTAATGGAACATTATGAAGACAGTAAACATAAAGAAGTCAAGATGAAAACAGTATGGAAAGATTGTGAAACCAGTAAAAGATAGGAATGGGTGACACGCGCAATTATGCTATGGACATTTTAATATCTGTGCTTCTTATTTATGCAGACATTATATTATGTAATACCTTATCCCCTAGTAAATTAAAACTATACAACATTGTTAACTAAACTGAAGCATATAGTTAAGTGGCCTATGTTAACTGCTAGGATCTTAAATGAGAGTGTTCAAAGACTAGAACAGACTCCTCATACGTCAGAAATAATGGACCACATCATTGAGCAACCACCAACTAAAATGTTCCAGGACCATAAAGAAGATACATTATCTTTTGTTTATTTATAAGTCTAAAGATGTATTACTAATGACTATAGTCCACTGGCTAAATGCCTGCTGGACACTTTAATGATTCTGATCTGTTTAGTTGTCATTTAATGAAATATTATATATTTATATTAATAAAACATAAATCAGCTTATGAGTTGTTGTCATTGTAAGAACTTTGTTGCTACAAATTAATTTTACTCTTGGTTTAATCAAACAGAAGACAACCTAATCCCTTCAGCTGTGGTCACAAGGAATTGCCCTTTTAAAGCCAGTGTTACTAAAAGTTACCCATATATGTTATTAACGTAATGTTACAGGAGTACACAATTAAGCCCAGTGTCTCCTATTAAGCTGTAATATTTTAAGCCAATTGAAAGATGCTTGTATCACCTGAAGACTTCAACATTGTTCACTTAAAAAAATAGCAATACACTGTTAGTAAGACATAATTTGGATTGCAAATTTAATGTTTTCCATTATGTGGGGGGAATACAAATTAACCTCCTCCTAAAATATGTATTCTTCTCATAGTGCAATGCAGTTTGAACTTTGTACATTTCTCCACTAGACAGTTATGGTCAAGCTGGCATGATTAAATTAAATTAACTTAATATCATACTGGGGGCATTAACAACTACTACATTTCTCACAACGTGGGTATTTTTGAGTGAAAAGGGAGCAAGTTTATGAATAGGAATGGCAACCCCACCCTTTTTCAACCCAATTTCTACAGATGTGACGCACATCTTCAGTTTTCAAATGAGTTTCTTGCAGGAATGCTACTTGAGTTTGTAACCTCTTCAAACTATTCATACTATGAAACAATTTTTTATCAATATATATATAAAAAAACAACAAAAAAAACAAAACAATGTGGGTATTTCAGACTTAACGGGGGGTCATATCAATAGATTCACCAAAAAGGTTGTAACAAAGTCAAAAAGATGGACAGCAGATCTTAAATACTGTTCAAAGCAGCAGAAAACTGATTAAAGCACGAGGCCTAGTCACTGAATCAAGAGTCAACGTGTGCTGGAATGGAGCCCAGCGCCACTCTACATTATGGTACAAACTGTAATATAGCAACAGAGTAGATGTGTTCAAGAAAATAATGAATAATGGTTTTGAGTTATCTTTTAAAATCAAAAGAAAGGCTACAAATGACAAGAGGTCATTGGGCCCATCTGGCCTGTTTAGCCGTTAGCATCTAATTCATCCAAGGATCTCATCCAGGTCGTCCTCGAAAGAAGCCAGAGTATCACCTGCAACAGCTAGAATGTTCCGCATTCTCACAATCATTTTGGAAAGGGACACATTTCAGATACAAGTGAGCTGAGGACCTTCCAATGCAATTCAGTTTAGAAACAGATACTGACAACATTTTTTAAATATACAGTTCGGTCAATGAATAGCTGAACAAGGTCCTTTCCCAAAACAAAGCAGGCTTTTTTACATTTTTATTTGTAATTACCAGTTATTTTTCATTGTATACCCTCTGGGATTGGAATCACAATGCTAACCAACTTCATTCACCCTCATGAGCCCCGCAAGGCAGGACCTTCGGGACAGACATCCGCTCGGAAACGCACTCTGCCAGAGTCACCCGCTTCCTCCCCACAGCTGGCACGAGCTGGAGGAGTCAGTCTCAGGCCCAGCACGGCAGACTTGCAGGCGCCCAGCCGGCCGGGCAGCTGACTGCTACACAGGAAGCTGCTCAGAGTATCCAGGCTGACCAGCTGTGGGGGCGCCGTTCGCACTCGGACCTGTCATGTCTTCAACACCGAGCCCCTGCCACTGCATTTTTACTGGATATTTCCTCTACTTTCACCTGATACATGGATTATAAAACAAACATTTCTGGAGAGTCTAAATTAATATTTTGTATTGAAAGCAAAAGTAAGTCTTTATTTATGCACCATGTGGGCTGATTTTAAACACCAGTTTCTGGTTTTCTGAATCCCGTGCTGCCATCACAAAAAGCAGACATATCTACCATATGTAAGAGCAAACACATAGTGAAGCTTACACCTGTAGATGTCTTTCCTTCATATAAATAAGGGAAAAAATTGGAACTGTATGCATTTCACACTGGAACTGTGTAGTAGTTTATACTATAGTATGAAATCAACCTCACTACTGCATAAAAGTCAACACTGACAGAGCTTATTTCATTCATTATGTGCTTTGATATTTATAAGTTTAGGAGATGTAGTACAGAATTTATAGATATCAGCATGAGGGTATATTTTAGTTAATTTTGTGTAGTGAAGCATTTACAGCACATGATAAATATGAAAAAGTCAACATTAAAGGGTTTTCAGCTACAGTGCTAAAGAGATTGCTTGTCCCCATCTGTAAATAAAGACCTCTGGCAAATCTTTTCTCTTAAAGCAAATAAATCAATGTGTTATATAAATATGAATTATGTTCTGATAGCTGTTCTGCCCCTATTCCCAGCATCACCTTCACCTCTCTTAAAAAGGAGTGAATTCACACTAGAGTCCATCAATGCAGAAGTTTGGCCGACAGGATTACATAGAATGGAGATGGTCACGTTACTTTGAAAAAATGAAAATGCAAAAGTGTTTTTGTTTATGCCTTGGTGTGGAGCTTACTGTAAATGCAATAATTCATACAGTGTTTTCCAGAAACTTGTGATGAGCTAAATATAACCACTAATGCTAACTGCTGATGCCCCCACAGTTGCAGAAGTATTGCCATGAAATGTCTTCAGAAAAATGCTGACTGCTTTTATATTACAAATTCACTACATTTACAGTATGCTTGTAGGTAGGTGTATATAGTCATTAAGTTTTTTCATAATTTTAATTAACACAAAAGTGTTTAATAGAAGGTATCCTTTTATTATTAATGTGAGTTTAGTTAACAATAAACCGATTTTGTTTGATATAAATGTATTTTTATCCACTTTGGATAAGTACACCATCCATTTTGACAACTTTTGCCAATTTGCCTTTGTGGGCTCTGAACTGTTGACAGCAGCAGGTCTTCACATCCCATTATGGGTATTTTACTTTTCAGATGTGCAGTTAACCAGTGGTTTCTGTGCACTTTTGGTAGATTTTTGACTTTCAGGTAATTTCTGAAAGCCTTAAAAACTCAGATCTATCCATGACCAAAGAGTCCAATGTAGTCATTTGAAAGTACTGGGTCCCCAAAGGTTGGGCAAAGAGTAAAAAAAACTTTTAGCATTTATGTTTGCAGTGGTGCAGCTCTGTAAGTGTGAAAAATCAAGCAAAACAATTTTTCCTTTTTTGAAATCACTCTACGTTTTGTTCAAAATGGTTGGTAGATTCTTGCTGGTTCATATTAATCATCAACCTTTTCTCTTTTCTTGGGTTGAAGGCCTTTGAAATACAATCTACATTAACTTTATATTTACACTGATTTCCAATAAATTAAAATGAGTTTTTTAAAAAGCTGTCAAAACAATATGTGTTTTGATAAAGGGTATTCATAAAAGGACTGATATTAATCACCATCATCTCATTAAATGAGCCAGTATTTCTTTAATTTCAGACTAATTTAATGAGAGTAAGAAAGCAGGTGACATTTTCTAAATACTTATCCATGTCTACATGGTTCTTTCTAAATTGAAAAATGTCATCACTGCCTGGGTAGCAGCAGCCAAGAAAAATGCTGCCTGTGCTTTTGTAAGATTTACTGGATTCTGAGCTTTTTAAGACATTGTTTAATCCCCCCTGCCCCCCTCCAAACTGGCTTCATTTGGTTAATGGTAAAAAAAAGTAAAGTAAAAAAAAAATTATGGGCCCTCAGAGGATTATCTACAATCTCTTCAAAGACATTCAATTAGTGAAGCATGCCAAACTTAAACCACGGCAAGATCCATTTGATCCATTTGAGCTACGCTTCTGAATAAAATATTGTGCTGTTTAAGCGGGGCTATAAATTCAGTGTCTTACTGGTTTGTTGTACCAGAGGAACATTTGGAGGGATCAGTGAAGCCGGTGTTTATGTATGGAGCACTAAGAGCTTTCAAACTGAACCCAGGGCGCAGAGGTCCCTGCGGAGGGTCCACAGACTGGGCAGACAGGGAGCTGGTGTAGAAGGGGGTAGGTGTCGTTAGTGTGGTATGACTGGGCAGAGTGAACAGAGGCACTGGGAGTTCTGGGCCATGGCTGACTGTCGCAGAGAGCACTGCGGGGACGCCTGCCTCTAGAGAGGGACAAAGAGCTGCTGGCGGCGGTGATCTGGAAGAGACATCTCTTGGTTTAACCCCACAGAATTTGTCCCGGAGTACGAATTACAATATACAGTTCTGTCTTTGTCGATTCAAACATCATTCAGGTACAACAGTAAAAAAATATTCTACAGGGATAAGATATGGAATTTGTTCACCCAAGAAACAAATGTTTCATTTCATCATCTGCCAAAAAATACATTATACAATACAATGCAACCCATCTTCAATACGTAGCCAGTATAGAGTAACCCATGACAAATCTATGAAAATTAACATTAGAATTGCAACAGTTGTGATTTTGTATTCTTCATTACTTTAGAGGTTATCCCTATTTTTTATATTAAGGACACAATATCAGGGGTTCTATTGTAAACTACTCCTGTCAGTATCAGAAATGTTTTGAAATGGTCATAACATTTCTTTATTTTGCCCTGAAAGATCCAGTTATAATAATTTTTGTCCACAGTAGTATATGTACTGTACTTTACTGTATACTCAAATGTTAAAATAAGCAAAGAAGAGACCTTGGGTTCTTAATTCAAAAATGAAGGCGCTTGTGGCAAAAACTAATATTGCTACATATAAACAATAATCACGAGTAGTTATTAGAAAATACAAATACTATGTAGAGTATTTGCTTTATATCTAAATTTGTGAAAGACAAAGATAACAAGATAAAACAAATTAATATTAGAAGCTCTTAATCGTACAATAGAATTATTATTAATATCTGCAGGCTTTTGGACACTATTATTAAGTCAACAAACTTTTGTTTAATGCGGTATTGTACTACAAAAGAAAATATATAGAATGCAATGATATGTGAACAATCCAGCATGCAACACTTAATGGCACAAGGTACGCCTTTAATTCAACCAATAACCCATTTAATTAAACCTTTTCATTTTTTTAACTATAAAACCATCAGATATTTACTGACTATATTTAAACTCTTGCAGAAAACTTCCAATTTTCCACTGCTTAAAAAATGAAAGCAATTCAAAAAGTATAGCTAATTTTAGTAACTGAGAGCTCAGCTGGAATAAAGACCAGAGGACTCAGTGATGGCTGAGTCCATGAAACACTAACAAATGGAAAGATCATAGCATCTGATCTGACTATCATTCATCATTTGGGTCCAGAGAACAATGACATCACTATCTTGATGGTTTCTCAGCATTTTTATCAATTACACTGCATTGAATACCTCCGCAATGCTAAAACATCCACATGACAGACATCCAACTTCAGTCTCTTATCACAATGTCCAAATTCCACCAACACTTACTGTACTTTTCAACATAATGCCAAACTTTGCCAAAAAGACAAGCATCGAAATGGCTTCATGGGTGCCAGAAATAGAAAAAAAATCTTATTTACAAAACAAATGAAAAATACATCTAAAAAGCTAAAAGTAGCATACATTCCTTGACAAACACATTCAAAGTTGTGGCTGAGGGAAAAATCAATTCTGATAAATGAATCTGAAGTAGAGAAAAAGCTGGATTTCAGGAGGAAAGCAAAGGTCCATCAAAAGGAGGGGCACAGAAGAGGCAGAAGAGGAGGAGTTGATAGGAGATAGCGAGAAGGTTGCAGGTCAAGGTGAAGGTGAGGTCTTTCAGAGACGACTGACACGCAGGGAAACTGGGGCACAACAGTAAACTGTTGGAAAGAAGTAAAGAGGAGAAGAACTTTTACCGAAGGACCAAACAAGGAAAGGAGTATCTGATTGACATCTCAGGCAGGATTTTGACGCACATTACAAGTCAATATTGTTGATTTCAAGACTTGTCCTGAGAAACAACAACAAAGCTTTCCTTTTATTATTGCAATTACTGTAAAGGATGCAGACATTGATGACTAACTGCACAAAAGCTTCTTTCAAAACATTCAACAAGACCAAATAATCAAACCAAAGTGGGTAACTGGCACAGCACTCATTTTTCTGCAGAAACCCCAAGTACATGGAAAGCATCTGTTATCACTTAGTATACTGTATGTACTCTACACAACATCTTTCTAAGTGAAAACCTTAATTTCTTGAGCACAACCATTGCTAATAATGGAAATGTGTACTTAAACAACAACACATAATGCTTTATAGGAAAATAAAAATTGTGAAATAAAATATTTTACTCATAACATGCACAAACTCCGTAATGCTGTCATACAATGAGCACAGTTACCTACACATAATAAAATATACAGGATCTGATCAAATAATGGCAAGCTTCTATGCACTGTCTTTTCAAAGAGTATTTGTCATCCAAATATTCCTGCAAACAGATGTCAAAGAATGAAATTCAAGAGAATGAATTCATGATGTAGCAGTGCGAAATACCACGACAATTTATTACCCATTACCACCACTGTTTTAAACAACACGGTTGAAAAGAAAGGAAGGAGCAAAAAAAATGATAAGCTGCAATGTTGCAACCTCACGATCATGCTTCATTAGCTCCAAGGCAAACTGAAGTGTAAAAATGGCTCTCACCCTATGAGGAGACACAAAGTAAAAATACAGCAGTAACCCATATTGCAGAACACCTTGTAAGGCCTTTAGTCAAAACAGAGAGGAACACAGACAGACAAAACTGAAAGAAGAAAAAGTTGAGAAAGATGAATGGGAAAGGCGGTCAGTGTACAGAACAGGCCAGAGCAGGAAGGGCAGAGCAGATGATGGAGTTCAAACTTGACCAGGACCTACATTCAGGTGCCAGTTCCATGCAGTGTTCCAGTGCGACATCAGAGGGCTGTGGAGTGTCTGAGTCCGCACAGCCCTTGTCTAGACAAGGAGGAGGGTATGGTGGGGGAGGGGGAATCTCTAACTGAGGTGGGTCACGCACGTTGCCTCTCCGAGGCTTAAGAGGAACCTGCCGTCGAGCACCTAAACAGAGGATGAATGGGCTGGTAATTAGTTCAGGAAAAAGTAACGTAGTTATGAGACCTCACATTGCCATATAGAGTACAATGATACTTAAGAAATAGATATATTCAGGAATGTATTTTTTGGACAGCTTGATCTTAAGTGCAATACAGTAGAATTGAACTGAACAGCTGCTTCCCTTTGTATGCAAAGCCTGAAACAGTTTGCAGACACTGTATCTAGAAATACGTCATCTTTTGGACATGTGACACATGGGTATCACGCATATAGTTTACGTAGGGAGCTGCGTCAGCACGTCTAGGCAAAGGAACAAGTAAAGGTTTATTACAAGAAAACAAGAAACTTTCTTCTCTTTTCAGCATTTTATAAACTTCACTTGTTCCTATGATATATCTATATACAGTATAGACACAATATATATCAAATTTCTTGGAATGGCTGTCCAGGAAAATAAAATGAACACATCTGCGCAAAAAAATGCTAAAAATACAATGTAGTATTTTAGGATAATAATTAATAATTAATAATAATAATTGCTTACACTTATATACTGTAGCACTTTTCTGGACACTCCACTCAAAGCTCTTTACAGGTAATGGGGATCCCCTCCACCACCACCAATGTGCAGCCCCACCTGGATAATGCGGCGGCAGCCATAGTGCGCCAGAACACTCACCACACATCAGCTATCAGTGGGGAGGAGAGCAGAGTAATGAAGCCAGTTCATAGATGGGGATTATTAGGAGGCCATGATTGGTAAGGGCCAATGGGGAATTTGGCCAGGACACCGAGGTTACACCCCTACACTTTTCGAGAAACGCCCTGGGATTTTTAATGACCGCAGAGAGTCAGGACCTCGGTTTTATGTCTCATCCGAAGAACGGTGCCTGTTTACAGTATAGTGTCCCCGTTGCCATACTGGGGCATTAGGACCCACATAGACTGCAGGGTGAGCACTCCCTGCTGGCCCCACTAACACCTCTTCCAGCAGCAACCTTAGTTTTCCCCAGGAGGTCTCCCATCCAGGTACTGACCAGGCTCACACCTGCTGGGCTTCAGTGGGTTGCCAGTTGTGAGTTGCAGGGTGATATGGCTGCTGGCATAACAAAATATTTCTCTGGAACACCTGTAATTTGAGATGGAGTTTTGCCAACCAGCATTCTAATCAGACTGATAAAGAAAAGCAAATGGCATTTCCATCAATTTGCTTTGGTTGATCTGACAATCTGTTTTGGAGCAACAGGCAGAAAGTGGGCAGAGCCTAAAGGGAAGGAGAAAAGCCATTATCCTGGAAGAAGAAACAGCTCCTCACAGCTACAAGAGTGAGTGATGCTATCAAACCTCATTTCATGCAAGACAAAGGTTGACTATAAGGGTTTCATAAAAACTGAGGGATGCGTGACCAGATTTGTATCAACTATGTGGTAATAGAGATGTCATCTTGATTCCATGAATGTACACAAGGAAAACACAGGAAAAACAAAAGCCTATTGTATTTTTTTTCATAGTTTCTCTCATTGCATACAGTACATGCAGTAGAGCTAATATGGCAATTTTTAGAAGGGACTGAAATACATCTCTAAGAGGAATGATTATAACCTAAAATGCATGACTCTTCTGCACTGCATTCTGCAGTGTGACCATCCTGTAGCCTCATCTTGTCAAATCTCAGAGGCTCAGCAATACCGTACTTGGTCCGCTCTGTGGTGGGAGACCCCTGAGTTGACCAGATTGCATATGGGAACAGTGCTGGTGGACTTGTAGGTAACTCTCTTCTCTCTGTACTAGAATTCCCAAATCAGTACCCCACTATAGTAACTGGGGATATTGTGTTATAGGAGCTGCCAATGTTTCAGGATGAGATGAGGGATGAGATATGAACTGAGGTCCTGACTGCCTGGGCATTATAGATGCCAAGGTACTGTTTAGAGGAATAGGGGTATTAACCCTGGTGTCCTGGCTACATTCATTCTGGGCTTGCACTGTCTGGCCTTTGTAAAGTTCAATGGGAAACCCGTTTCTCTGCTCCCCACCTGACCTGCTGTGTTGACAGCAGCTGGAGTTTAACTTCTCCTGTTTGTCACTGAGGTCACACTAAGAAGTGTGAACCCTCTTATCAGTAAGGAACCTTGGAATTCTTTGTCAAGAAATAGGCTTTATAAATGCTAGTAATTAAGATAATGATTTTTTTCTGCTGCTTAATCATAAAGGTTTTGGTCAAGTTTTTAAAAAAAATATATGTATACAGTATATTTTAAGCCACCCATGAATGAGCTGCCTGAACCAGAGTTTCTAGTTTTGCAGTATTTCCCAACTGTATTTTCATAATGTTAGCAAATACAAGGTACTTAAGGCAGCCTAGGAGTCCAAATGACTAGACTGCAGGAGCACAGGTCCAATGGAGCCAGAGAGGATTACTGTTGTGATATCAGTATAAAAAGAGGTCTATGGTCAAGTCATTAACTGCACAATACACAGCAGTAGACTGTGCAGAAGAACAGATCCTCAGTTTTAAGTAGTGGGAAATGCACTGCGATGGGGAAAGTATCCACACTCCTGGACACAAACACTGCTGTTCTTGAAAAAGTTAACTTAAGGTAATAATTCAAAACCAAAAGTAGGTGGTCAGGATGCACCTTTTTTAGTGCATCTGTTACAGTTATTAAGAATGCTGAGTTGGTCACTTACTTTTCTGCAGTTTTTATTTATCAATCAAAATCAAAATAAATTCATTATTATACAGTATAATGGCACGGGACAAGGCTTATGACACCTTGCACTATTTTAAGCTTCTTCCAAAAATATAAACTAGTTTTATGTAAAAAAAAAACGTGATTTACATGGATGGGGTTAAGATCAGATTGCCATGCCTGCAGCAGGCTAAAGAGCAGTAAAAGGAACATCAGGACTATCCTGTTTTTTGAGCACCAGCAGATGTCTGATCAGATATGAAAAGCAGATCAAGCTTGTTCTGCTGCTACTCAAAATATCAAGTTAAAAAGTAAACTTGTAAATTCCAAGTCGTTTATAAACAGGTAAGATTTAGTTATTCTGATAAGCTGATGGTTGAGCAGGGCATGTAGGAACACATACTCAAGTCTGGAAGGTAAGTGTCAGACTGAAATATATTTATAACATAATATAAATATTATATACATAATTTGTAACCTGGAGAGTAATTAGTAAAAATTTTCAGCTCAGAAATGTTAATTGTGAATTCTATAGTTAAAAGTAATTAACATTTCTACCATTAGAACTGAAAATCTAATAAGAAATAATATGCTTTACTACAGTACATTCTTTGCATTCACCCTATGGCATAAAACAATTTTTACTGTTATTTAACATTGTGCTTTTCTGTTTTGTCACAGTAAAATTATATTTTCTTTTGATTTTGCTTGATATTTGAAAAATAATCCTTTGCCCCATTAAGCCACAAAGTAAATAAATCAGGGAGAGGTCTGAAGTTATTATTTGCCTTTTTATTTTGCATGAAAAAATGTGCTGCAGCAGCTGAGTTTGACAGGCAATCAATTCAAATTTTGAGGCCAATGAGAAGTTTCACAATGCATATTCTTTATAGAAGGTCTGTTTAAATAGCAATGCATACTTTTTTTGACATGTTCAATCTGCTTGGAAAGGGGTTTGCTATTTCACCTGGCTTTCAGGGGACTGACTGTTCAAAATGTAAGGCATAATGTAAACATAAAGCAAGCAATTGGACCTGAGCTACCGTACCGCCCACATGTGGTTATCACAGACAGTGCAGAATAGGAAGAATTTGTGTTTTTTATGTCTATACTACACTCAAATTAAATGCTTCAGACCACCTGTTAAAAAATGGTACTTGTCTATAAGGGACCTACCCAAGTGGAAATCTAAATAACAGTATGGCTACTCATTAGAATAGCTACACTTATCGCTGTGTTGATCATACATGACAATCCCTTCAGGTCCTTCAGGAGTTCATCCTCTTGCACTTTCACTGCAATAACTTCATGCCTTAGCCTGACTCTAGAGCAAGTGTGATTTCAGAAATCAGCTGTTTATTATTTCACATCGATGTACCTTGTGTAACAAATATAATATATATACACTGTAAGGCATATAATGCATTATACATTTTCAAAACTTTCTCACAAGAACAATGCATGTCAAAGAATCTTTCAGAAAAAAAGTTCAACTGTCCCAATATCCAGTGAGCCCTGAACGTGTCACAAAAGCAAGATTCAGAAAAAGAAAACCTTCAAAAGCATATGGTCATACGCCACATATACAGTCCATGCAAGGACCAGTGTGTCTAATGACGCTGTTACATTCTAATTCCACGTGACAGAATATGACTTTCATACAAATGTATTCGTTGGGGAATACAACAAAATTTCCAAACGTGTCAAGCGTTATTTGTCGCATTGTAAAACACAATCTTTTGAAAGAAGTGAACCTGATAGATCTCCAATACCTACCCATGGTGCTTTGTCTGTTGTCGTCCACCTCTTCTGCCTTGTGGTTCGGAACAGATGCCGACTCCTCTGCCGTGCTGTTCTCCACTGGCTGCGGCTCATTGGTCCTGCTGCAGCTGGCAGGGTCCGCACCCTCTGGCTCCCCTCTGCTGCTGCTGACCACAGGGGCCGAGTCCCCGGTCTTGGTGCTCAGCGCCAGAGTTGCTGGTGGGGCCGGAGCTTTTCTTTTCTTCTGCTGGTTAGAGCTCGGTGAGCCGGGCGCCACCTCGATGGGAAACGAGCAAAGAAAAAACGAATGACGGCCTCAGACCGCTTCGTGTGGTGTTTTACAGAATGTGGCATTTTTAATTGCAGTTAAAAGAACACAGACATAACATGCAGGAAAAGACTCTTTTAAAGGTAAATTATTATAAATAATATAAAAAAATATTATGAATTATCTTTCATTCTTAGAAGGGGTGGTTTCAATTACAGTATAATAAATATAACAGGCATTAGGTTGTGTATGCCATGCTTAAGCTCTGAACAGGAAACTTGTGGTTTCATGAAAGCCGTTTTCATGCTCTCATGAACCTTCTTCTTTCATAAACCTTTAGTGCTTCTTCCTCATAAGGAAGGAAAATGCATCTCTATTTTAGTGTGAAACTATGTGAACTTTACATAGCACTTAGTTTATGTGCAGTATACCTGAAAGAAACAGCAAAAAATCTATTAAGATCATTTTTTATTTTATTGAGTATTCAATAATAAGGTTGATTAAAACAACTGTAAACACTGGCAAGCTAACTACAATACAGATATGGCTGGTGCTCCATTATGTTCTGTTACCTGAGGATGATATTAAACGTTTTATACTTGCAAAACACAGCATTTCCAGGATGTCATTATAAAAAAAAGCACGTGGAATCCAGCTCACTTACATATAGCTATTGAAAACCTATCGGATCTGTATAGGACGGTAATACAGACAAAAAGAAATGGATACATAGATAAACATGTCTCAGACCATGCTAGATTAACTGGTGTCTTGAAATTGCCCATGTGTGTGTCAGTGTGTGTGTGTGTGAGATTCAGGATTTTCTCCTGCTTTGTGGTCTGTGCTTCCTGGATAGATGGATATTCTGACAAAGGTTGGATGAGTGAATAAATATAGAACAAAGCTGTGAGGGAGTCTGTGAAGAACTGCTTGCCAGTTTCCTGCTGAGACATGGTCAAGATGCTGTTGCAGTGCAATCGGCTTTGAGAATATCGAGTGGGAAAAGGGACTCAGATGTAAGAGAAGTAAGGGAAATTACAGTGACAGTGGAATAATAACAATGGAGCTCAAGACAGTGACCACAACAAAGGCTTCACTGTTAGTGACTAAAAAAGATAAAAACTCTTTGATTCAGACCTTCGTTTTTCAGATGTGCAAGAACAATTTCATTTATTTTTTCCTCAAACTTTTTTAACATTGAAACATGAAAACTGAACATGTATCAAACTGCAAAAAAATTGTGAATGGTGCTGACTACTATGGCCATAGACTTTTTTCAACTGATGCAAGAAAATCACTCACAATTTATCCTGGGAGCATAAGATGGGCTTTGGAAATCCAAATGTGAATGTCTGTCCCTGGAAGCAATAAGTAAAACAGCCCAGATGACAACTAATGAGCTTCACGTGTTGGGTTTTGTTGCATTACTCATAGAACATTTTCAAAACTAGCAGCATTCTGCATGGATTTTCAATAACCACAAAGTCAGAAGTTAATGGATTCACAGATTACAAAGGAAAACCAGGTTCTCTAAAACACATTTTTCCTGTTTTCTGGTAACGTGCAGGCACTATCACATTTTACAGCTTATTACTGTCTTTCCTCTTCCAGTTTTTAAAACTGTGTTTGTAGACCTACATGTACCTTTATCAGTTTGATAATCATCTAATTCTACATCTGAAAACATCTGAACAGAAACTAAAATTAGAATGATCTTTTATTCATGTTGAAATATGCCTTAAGCACTTCAAACTGACAAGACTTTTATAAAAAAATGTAAGTAAAAGATCAAACTTTTGACAAAAAAGTAAAACTTCACTGACAACTACCTTAAAATCATCAGCAACATTAATAAAAAAAGAGCAACAGGAAGCCTAGGTAACAGATCCTGTATGCAACACTACATTATGTACGTAAAGACTTCAGCGTATTTTTAATGATCATATTGAACCTTCTAAAAGACACATATAGACAACTAGATGTCTATATTCCTCCAGAACCAGGCTGAAATTACAGCATGTCTCTATTTTAAACCAAACACTATAGAATTGCTTTCTATAAAAATAATATACTTACATTAATTCAATTTCTAACAGATCTGAAATTTCAGTTTAGGCTACCTGTGTAGGTTTTAGGTTATGTAGGTTTTAGAAAACCTATATTGTTAAGTATCAGTTAACTAACAACTTGTAATGTTTGCATAAACATGAAAATGTACACATACTTAATAATATTATATACACATATTATATTTATTATTCTGAATAACATATTGTATTTCATCCTTCCTTTCGGCCATATGCTTTATAAACAGGAAATGTATAATTGAATACTGTACTTCAGATTCTCTAAAACACATCAAATATCTGCCCTACTGTTCAAGAAACATTTAAGATATTTTTAAAAAAATAGTTTGGGTTAATAACCTCCTGCTGAGTTTGGAGTGTTAATGATGCCTGGCTTATACATATTTCATTTTATCAAGTAGTCGACACGATCTTTTGATTAAAACCCTTGAAAATCAAATGAAGGCAATAACAATTGGTTGTACGAAAGTGAACCTAACGTGTATTTATAAAGGATACCTTTTCATTTTAAGCGAAAAAGAAACATAATAAAATTCAAGACCTGGTAGGGAAACAGCCTGCTTATGGCACTCACAGGTGTAAGTGGGGAGCAGCATTTTCTTACAAGCTGCTAATGAACAAGTAGAGGTTGGTTCCACACAGAAAAGAAAGAAAGAAAACTATGTTTCAGATCTGGATCCTTGGATTATAACCTTGTAACCTTAGATTAATACAGAAGGGATACCATGTGTCCAGGGGGCTTCTGGCATGATTGAAATCATTTTAGTTTAAAATGCTTCTCAGTATCACCTCCTTACTCTCTAAATGTAAGAAGCCTATCACTGTTCAAAGGGCTCTTACCTCTCTAAACGTTAGAAGGCGATCACTGTTTAAAGGGAAAAAAAAACTATTTTAAGCCAGTCAGTAATTATCTACCACTTTAGCCTTCGTGTCTCTTGCATAACTGCAAGAATATACTTGTCTGAGTATGTTCAGACATTTTGACAGGTACTCACAGAACATACTGTACAATACCAGTGTTTGGTGCACACGTAGGCAAATATTCTTAAGAGGAAGAACTATAAATTGAAAAAAAAACATATACAAAAGCTACAAATGAAAGGACAGTGTATAAACAGTGTGAATCCACCTTGATGTTAAATTTTTATTCTATTACAGTATATAATATATAATATATATGAAACCCCTCAACTGCAGCTCTATGTCTTTCCTTCTCTTGGCAAACTTCTTTAAAATTGTTGTGACAAAATTAAACATTTCAGCATAGGCAGCAACCATTTTTACTGTCTGCCTGAAGTCACTTTTGACATAAATTATCCATATTGCACCCTCATAAGCATTAATTACTCTGTTGCTCGTTGTTCACTTTTGCAATATGTTCTCTGGACCAGAGACAGACATGGGTTTAGCACCATTTCTCAGTCATCAAAGTACATGACTGACATGGAGTTAAATGATTTTTATGGAAATAAATGATTGCATTGTTGTAAATTTGAATTCCGAGATGATGGCTGAGCTTGTGCCACTAATACACTAAGATCTTAACTGATGGAACTACAGTACATAACTAACAATCTGGACCCAGAAAATGATGTTTCCTAATTCTGATGACGGGAGGGCTGCTTATATACTATAATGCACCACTCAGTAACTGTGTCCAAAAACCAACCTAGATCAAAAGTTCTAGGAAAACCTGTTCTGATGGGTAAACTATCTAAGTCGGGTAAAAGTGCAACTAGAAACAGTCAACATTTAATGCTTCTTGTAACCCTAACCTTACCGGGGCCAAAAATGCATATTCATTTAAATACCATATTAAGAACGTTGATCACCTGATTGAAACTCTGCACAAAGAAGATAGTTTAGTGAACAAGATACATTTCCAATATTTTATCAATGGTTTTGATTGCTTTAGACATACTTTTTTTTAAGAGAAAATATGTTTGAGAAACATTTCAATTCTAGTGACTGGAGGGCTTCAGTTGAAACCTGAATTGAAACCCCAGCTAGGGTAGGGGTTAGCATTCCCACACTACGTAGACATTTCTTAGGCTCAGTGCTGGATTTTGGGGCCCAAGTGAACTTTAGGATGAGTTATAAATTCATCCTATGTTTGATTTAGTTTTTTCGGATTGTTTTTGCTTTATCTATTGTATATTACACCGTTAAGAAATTGTATCCCTATACCGACAGATCAAAAGTTTTAAGAAAACCTATTTTGTTGGGTGAAATATCTTAATTTTGTCATTTAAAGTTCAACTAGAAGTATAACTGCAGTCAACATTTAATGGTTCTTGTAACCCTAAGCCTTTTCTGGCCAAAAATGCACGCTTGTTTAAATACAGTACCATTTTAACATTGGTATTCAGCCGATTGAAAATTTGGATAGATAAAGAGGATAGATATGGAAGAACATACAGTACATATCAAAGAGATTTTATCAATGATTTTGATTGCTTTAGTCTCATATTTTGTGGTTTAAGGAACATTTCAATTCTGGCTGGAGGGCTTCAGACACAGATTGAGGAACTGCTCAATTGAAACCCCACTTAGGGTTAGGGTTAGCATTCCCACACTACTTAAACTTTTTTTACACTCTTTGCTGTTTTTAGGGGACCAAGTGAACTTCAGGACAAGTGTTAGTTTGCTCCTACAGCACTTTTGTTAGCCTTAACAAGACCTTAAGGCTTAGTACAGATTCCCAAAAAAAAGAAAGAGAAAATTATTGTGCAAGAAACCTCCATGAGCTCACAGCCTCTGGACATTAAAAAAAACTTTCATGAAACTTTGCTGCCTGATTGTCCCATTTTAAAAAGTGTGCTGTACAGTACATTTCATTTTAATCTTTAATCTGCTAAGTACCTTATTTAATTATATGTCATAATACTAGCACAGTGCAGTGATCAGAGAGTGACTTTTCTGTTTATGGTACAAATAATCCTTTACAATAAGTACCATTCCTTGCAGGCATAATTGTTGTATTTCCTTTGAGGCATTAACCCTAAGAGCAATAGAATGGACTGATTTTTCAGGAATTATTTCTGAAGTTATGGATAACACAGCGTAGTTTTAAATAGCAGTTTCTCTAAGTAAATGTTCTCTTGCATTATTTGAATAAATCCCAGAGCATACCACACACTTAACCCCATGACCCATAATCCAAAGGAAAGTATTTCATTCACTTGGCATGTTAAAACTATAATACACTTGAACAGATCAACGTAATTATCATCAAAGTAGCCAAGGCTAGATAATCATGTGTTACATGCATTATATTAAAGTCCAGCACTGCAAGAAATCCATCTATATACAGTATTTTCACTTGTTCTGATGACTCTTCCACCTTTTCACTGAATTAACCATTCCTTTGCAATCACATTGAAAATCCGATATTAAGTTGGACCTTGCATAACTTATTACAGCCTTTTTACTTAATAGATTCTCTTGAGTTATATGAGTCTGGCACAAGCAGCCCAGCTAAACTGGTGAAACAAATAATCTGTCTTTTTTGAAGAAATGACTGAATGATTTCCTTAAATCAATTAATTGCTAGACCCCCTCTCATTTGTAGCCTTTTCTTATAAAAATACAATTATATACAGATCTTATACTACACTTTTTGTATCCCACAGTATATATCAAATTTCACGATTTTATAAAAGAACCATGGGGCACAAGGAAATGTACAGTAAAGCAATCAACAACAAAGGCATGAAGGAGTATAAAGATGTTATCCAGACTTACTGTTGTAGCTGATATCTTGTCTTCCTTAAGTTCACTGCTAACTAATAAAAGGCTAAATGGGATGAATGATCTCCTCTTATTTGTAACCTTCCTTATTTTCTTAAACAATTTTACTGAAAACAGATAATTTAAATCTTACATTCATACAGTTAGATATAAGATACATTTATATCTAATATACTGTATATAGTGGCGGTTAGACTCCCTTAGACCCTCTGAGAGTCACAACAAGGGAAACAGCATATTTCACTTCATATTATCCATGGAAAACCAAATTTGGGATTCTGCTGGGGATTTGAACTCAGGACAGATCTCTGGGGGCAGCGTATAAACACTCCAAATTAAATTAGTGTGCCTTCTGCTCAGGATTGTTAGAGAAATCAGTGTTTCTCTGTGAGTAAGCAGGTTTCTATCTATAAAAGTGAAGATGACAGAGGTTTTTTGCTCTTTTGGGGATATCAGTGATCAGTAACGTCTCAGGTGAAACAAACATAGAAGTTATTCAACAAGGCTGAAAATTGTTAGGGAAAGATACAATGGCTGCTGTGTCAGGCTATCATAAAATCACCGGTTTGACATTATCGATTTTGATATTCGTTCTCTGGCCCGACAGGATCTGTTGGTAAAAGAGTCAAAAGATCTAGAATAGAACAGTGGAACAGCTAAGGTCAATCACCAAACTAGTGAGGGAAGGTTTGAGACACTGGGGTTGGTCCATTCCTCAGATGATTAACTACCTCTTCATATATTTGAGAAAATATGGTGTGTACATGTGTACATAGTTTGACAAGGCACCTTGTTCATTCTGCCAAGACGCACAAGCTTGGAATGGAAACCCCAGTATGATAATGGTCCAAAGTACACATCCAAAATGACAAGGTAATGTCTAACTGCACACAGATGTTCTTGACTTGCCATCTCAATCTGTACGCTTCAATCCAACTGAATACGTAATTCCAACTCTAGACAACTGTTCAGCAAAAAAAAGCCAAAAGATCTAAATGACCTTGACATGAAAAAATGTTAAACAATTTCCCCTTTGAAGTGCAGGAACCTCATAGAACATTTCTCTACGCAGGAGGTGTTTAATCAGTGTAATCCCTGCTACAGGAGAATTTACAAAATACGGACGACCTGGATATAAATAAACAAGACACACGACTTTTCTGAATTAATTATGAGAAATAATCATTGATCTATGCAGTACTATTAAGACTGCTGTACAACATTTTTAGCATTTTTAACCAGGAAACATAATCCACACATTTTTCTGTTATTTTATGTATTTTGTCAGGGGTATGAGTATGAATCTCTTCAAAAGGGCACTGTTTCTCTGTTTTCCCACCAAATGAAAACATTGAGTTATTGTAAAACCCTTAGCTCCCAGGACAGGAATACAGCTGTTTCCCATTCAGGTCTTAGCCAGCCAGTCATGCCAAACTCCAGCAAAAACCTGCACTGTCCTGTAGCACCACCTTCACCCTGATCGGGAGGAGAACGTCTGAGCTTGGTTTCCAGGGACTCAAAGCTCAGGCAACAAGACTGTGTGTTCTATGAAACTATTCTGTATTTCCATAGAGTTATGGGGGGTGTGCAGGTTTACAGATAACTTAATTTGAGCTCTTTTTTCATAAATACAGGCACTTGTTTGCCATTTGAAGGTTAATATTTTTTTAAAAGAACACTGAGACACTGTGGGAAAACAGAGGGTAAGAGGAGGGCTGTTCATTTCAATATGGCAGGTGTGTGAGTGTGTCATTAAATAGCAGAAGGTTTATGTTATGCATCCTGATTATGCATAATTATGCAATTACGATGGTCCTGTAAATAAATACTTTAACAGAATTAGGTTCCCATTTGTAACTAGACCTACCTTAACAACTGACGATGCATGAATGGTAAGTATTCATATTTAGAGTGGGAAAAATCCAAGTGGTGGTGACAACTGATACTGTACGTCCTGGCTGCTTGCAGATCTGCAGTCAGTAATCACATTTTGTGACTCTACTGCAACTATTTGCTTTTAATTCAATTATTTTTAAAGGATATGCATTTGATCAGTTTGATAAATGAAATAACTGATTTAGGCATTTTCAACAACACTAGTCCAATTTGCCTGATTTAAATTCATATTTATAAGGTGATATCAAACCAAGTCTGCAGAAATCTCAGAACTGCTCAATATATAAAAGTTCCATAAAGTTTCTGAACTTCTAGTCCGATGAAATTGAGTTTTGGACTGTACATAGCCTGAAAAGTTTTAGAAAAGTTTTAAGAAGCCTAAAAGTTCTTAGAAATCGTTTTCAAAATGTGTTTAAGGTGTCCTCTTTTTTCAGGATAGGATTCATTTAAGATATTTGTACTATTTTCTAGGTGACAGTAAATAATGGATATACATGTACAGTACTTGAGGTCCAATGCAAATCTGAACTCATCATTCTGTTTCATGGATATTAACTTTTTAAAGATGCTAAAAAAGGCTAGCAAATGCTGTGCACAAAGGGCTTTGTGCTTCTCTTCCAACTTTTATGTACCAAAACAATAGTATTTGAAAACTATTTGTTCTGGCTTGTTACTTCTTTTCTTGAGAACTCAAGCCTTAACAATATTTCCTGAAGTGATTTTCCACAGTCTTTGCCCAAACTGTAACTCCTGTTGAGTTGGTTTACATTATGTACTGTTAGTCAACATTTTTTTCTCTGAACTTTCTCTTGTGTAAGTCCTTGGTAAAATTAGAAGGTGTGTTTCCAGCACTGCTATCATTAATTAAGGCTTTTTTTAATCTTGCAGGAATCCTGGCTTTCAAATGGATTTTAATCAGCCTCCAAACAAGGTCCAAGCTATTTAATTACTAAATGCTGCACCCTGACCCAGATCTGGCAAGTTCTATTTGCTAGCTCTTTATGGTTGGACCACACACACAACACAAAATTTTCAATGCAAAATTACTCAAGTGGTTGTGGCATAAGTCCACTTCAAATAAAAGAACCAAAAGCAGTATAGCCCCTTATTGTCAGTGATAAAAACCCTATGAATAATTTGTACTTAGCCTGTGTGAAAATGCCCACAACATTGCCTTTAAATAACGAAAAAGTACATTTTAATTCTAATCCTTCACTGCAATCTCACTGAAATAAAATGAATCCTTAGCAAAGTGCTCAAAAAAGAACATTTGAACAATTTATGTATTTCTAGTTTTATTGTGAACATAACAAATAGTGACCAAAACAATACTTTTAAAAAGTGCAAACTTTAAACAGATTTTAGGCCAAAAAGCAGTGAAAGGAATCTTTGTGGCACACTTTGCTCTCATTTCTTGCATTGCAAAACACTGGAACTTGTAATCAAAATTATATTTCTGTGTACAGGTTTCTGATACAATTTGTGCTATTAGTCCCTTCAAATTCAGAAAGCTACACTGGAGCAATTAAAACTTACAGATAACTCACCGGATGTTTACATTTTCTATATGGAAGTTTACCAAAAGCTAGACGCTATTATAAATCTATAATAGTTATTGTGCTGGTGTGTGATTTTAAATGTTACTACAGTATATACAGGATGCAACACAAGGGTTTGGCTGTAAGAGGGTTTGGATGAAATTAGAATAATAAATGATATTCCTAAACTTACTTAAACCTAAAATTTCATCTTGAGTATTGAAATCTGTGCAGTTTCCAGTATTTTGAAGTTAATTATAACATCTATTCTTGTACTTTAGTAGCTTTAAAGTGAATGGAAAAAGTGTCGAGATGAGTCCAAGAGCACAGACTCCCACATGTATCACTGAAACACTGAATTCTCAGGCTGCATCTGTATCACAAACTCATACACACACACCCAGCACGAACTGTACCAAGCAGTTGCGGTGCAGCACAATCCTTGGTTCGAGGGCTAGAACTAGCTAGCACTGCCAGAGGGGACCCATGTATCTCACGCAGAGGCACTAGGTCACATTTGAGGGTTAAGCCCCATCACTCATTTTCCCAGCTGTGTCCTTTGGGCAGCCAACAAGTACAGTATCTCTTGCTGGGGAGGAACATGTAGATTTTTTTAGGAAATATGAAACTTAAACCGGTTAGGAGGGACACAGAAGTGCTCGGTACTGAAAATTAAAAAAAAAAAACACTTTTAAGATAATACAGAAGGTAAGAAAGATTAAAGCCTGAGTTTAAATGCCCCCAAACTGAACAACTGTTGGGATGATGTGGAGACATCACATGCAGAACTACAGTACAATGAGGCTAAAGCACATTTTTCTTTGTCTTTTTTGTCCTCAAAGCAAAATAAGGATCATTGATGAATTTTCCAGTTTTCTACACGGACTCAAGATTCTCAGCTGAATTTTAGCATGGCAAGGAAAGTTCACCACAAAAAAAATGATGCTGAGACACCAAAATAGCGGAGATTTCCTTTTATTCCAAACTCTCATTAGAATCCTTCCTTTGCGTTTTTCACCTTGGGAAGCTGGTCACTAACATTTAATATTTTTAAAAGTTAGACTACACAGGTCCGCAGGATGTTGGTTTTGGCAAGAATCTCAACTTCCTTTGTTCCAAAGAACACAATGTATTCGTCTTCACAACAGTCTACATCACAAAGTTAAATATTCTCCCAAGAAAACACACTTTTTGCTTAGCTGAGCATATGACTTGTATTACCTGTTTCTTACTGTTTTTGTTTAAGTTCTTATTTTTTCCTAAGTTTTAAACTGCTGGTTAATAAGCATTTTTCATAAATCTAGTCAGAGAAAAGCAGGAAGAAATAATCATGAAAACAAGTCATATAAAATGTTGCTAAAAACACAATGAGAAAAACAACCAGATAACTAATAGAAATATATTGGATATTAAACTAATACTGTACATTTTCAAATGTGTTCAAATAGAAAAAATGGAAGGAATAGTATTAAATTATTAACTACATTTCTGTTTTTAAAATGTCAATTCCATTTAAAACATTTTTGTGAAATTATTTTCTGATAGTAAAGTAATCAATTGATTGTCAAATATTTTCTAGATTACTCTATTCATGATTTGTAATGAGGAATTCAGCTGGGGTTATTTAGCAAAACAGGTATAATCATTAAACTGTGTTTTTGATTTTACTTGAACAGGATTCCTCGGGCTCTTTACTAAGATGAATCTGGGGATCATTAACATAATAGTTAAGACACATAAATTATAACAAAAAACCAACACGCTACAACTATTCAGCAGTGACTCCAAGGCAAAACAACAAAATAACTATGCACTCCTGAACCAGTGCAAAAGAAAAAAGGCAGAGATAACAGACTCAGAGCTCAATTTAAATATTCCCAAATGTGAATACAAAGGATTAAAAAAACAGGCTATAAGAATGACTCCAAAGACAAAAACGTTTTGGAAAATTTGTCAAAAGAAACATAAGAATCAGATTTTTGCTCCGCAGTGTATTATAGTTTGTTCAGGTGTTGCTAGTTCAATCAATAAAACAGAGTCAGGTGATTCTCTTTAAGGTGATTCTGACAGATGGTTTGCAGGGCTGTAATTCCCGAGGCAGGCAGGAGTACAGAATGTTTAGACTGGCAGGCTGTCTCTGAATGTGCAGCCAAGTATCAATATATCACAATATAAATGTTTACAAAGTCAAGGACATTTCATTAATACCGCAGATTTCACACAACATTTCTGCAGCATCCATAAAAGATTAATGAATTCTTGTGGAATGCGTCTCTTTATTAATAAAGAGCACTATAAACTCTTCTGAAAATAAGCAGCTAGGAAGGTTGAATTTCTAATGAAAATGGAAAAGACTGTGATAGGTTACATCTTTTTAAAAACTGTGAATCGCCCATTATTTATGTTTCAACCACCTGATTTTGGAACAGGCAAAGGTGTGATTTTTATGTCTCAGCTGGCAGTTGTGTACTGCAGGGGGACTGAGGAAGGGCAGGCAGACTTTAAACCACTTGTCTTTCCCACGTCACAGAGAGCACAGTCCCACACCAGGGGTCGAGGTCTGGCTGGAGGAGAGACCTGTCCCTTGTGGACGATATGCCAGCCTGCTGTTTATAGAGCCCGGAAGGCCCCAGGGCCACAGTGGCACCGAGAGCCTAGAGATCTCTGGCCGACTGCCCTTGGAGACCCTGAAACGATGGTGCGCCCAGCCCAGGCGGTCAGCCAGTGACTCGAACACAGAGCCACAGAGCTCCGCCCGTGCATGGTGAGTGCCATGTCCCATAACACTTGGGCCACTCAGAGAGCCCCACATTGAAGCTCAGTGGTCCAGCGCCACAGCAGCGCGTTTGGAACAGAATTCATGATATGTCATGATAAAAGAAAAAAAAAACTCTCTGATTCATTAATAGATTTTCGATTTTCTTGACATTAATACCTCAAGACACAAAAATACAACTCCTTCCAGCTGTATCTAATTTCTTTGGTAAAACTAGATCTGATTGCTACTGTAAATTAATAATTATAATAATTTCTTACACTTACAGTATACAGTATAGCACTTTTCTGGACACTCCAAGCGCTTTACAGGTAATAGGGACTCCCTTCCACCACCACCAATGTGCAGCATCCAAATGGGTTTATTTATGTCCTTTAGTTCTTAGTCTTGCTGAGGGAAGCTGTACAAGTTGTACTATAATACGTCATGTGGATTCATTAAATCACTGTTCCTTATCCGAAGCTTTACATCCCTCAAACAGACCTCGAGAGTCCCAGAAGCAGATCACAAGTTATTTCAATTTACAGATCTTAATGTCTTAGAACTTATGTGCATGCTTTAAAACATCTAGAATTTTACTAGATGTTTGTAACTGGTTGATGCTTAATATTGCACTGCAAACTCAATGAAAACTACAGCAATAAAAAAACATTTTATCAGGGTATCTGAATCAAAAATTACAATCATGTGGTTGGAGCAGTGTCCATTCTAACGTGAATTTACTGAGAATCTAAAACATAAGATAACATATAATAAGTAAACCATTTGTCACAGTGTAAACTGTAGAAATCATTTTTTTAACTTATGTTTTTAATTATGGTGTTTCATAATTTAGTCCATTCTTTGACACAGAGGACCAGAAAGCAGCAGAACACCAGCTGCAGATCATTTTGAGGGAGACAGAAAGGTGGCAGACAAGAAACATGCAAGATGCTCTGGCGCTGCCATTAATTGATCGCAGTCGCTTGCTGGCTCAGAGCATATCACTCCCTGGACAGTGGCAAACGTCACTACACCAAAGGGCTGGGTCTTCTGCCTCTGGACTATTCTACTCTGTCATCTATTGATGTCTTTTTCCTGTAACATATTCAGTACAACCAAGCCTGGTTCCATGTGCCTCGTGTTAAATAATTAAAACATAGTGAAAAGTGGTGTACTGTAAATTACAATCAGAAAGTGATGATATTATTCTGCCTGTATAATGAACTTTATAAAAAATCAAAAACATCAAAGGTCCCGTGTGTGCACACCTGTCTCGTACAGTACACTACATGGAAAACACTGGAAGTACTAACAAGGGGCAGTTTCTGATGGACTCCTAAGGTTAGAAGTTTTATTACAAGACATTATTCTCAAAAAATCTAATACATATCTACTAAAATATACGCCTATGTCTTGCAGATGTCTGTAGCTATGTATGTCTGTAAAAGATTACTTACAGAGAGCAAAGGTAGCAGAACATCAAGCGAGAGAGAGACTGAAGAAGTGGAGTGGAACATTTGTAACTACAGCTTTACAGCCACATCAACAACCTTGCGTCAAGTGATCTGTCTGTATTGCGACTGAACATATCCATACTTTCCTAGCATAAGCCCTGTTTGTACGAATCAAATACTTTTCAATCTTATCACTAGGAAAGCCAACAGTGTTTATTTTACACATATTAGAATAGGAATTTCAGTACAACATGTCAAAGTAAACAAAATAAATCTAAATAAAGCAAAATATTTCTGTGTTTAGTCTAGCTATAAATTATTAAGTATCAGAATTGATACGTAAGATTTTCTTGTGGCTATATAACTCTAAAATCTTCTATGTCACCAGGCATATCCTATAATATTTATATACCTATGAAAACAAAAAATATTATTATTACATGATTATAATATAAGGAAAGTAACAAAAGATTTTTGACTGGATCCACAATTTTCTAAATTATTTCAATAACAGAAGAATCTGGTGCTGCATTTGTATTTTTAGACAAGGTAGAAAAAACTGGGTTTATACCCCAACCTAATGAAGGAAATGTTTAGTACAGCTACAGGTATTGCTTTTATTGTAGAATGGATTATTTATAACTGGAGATGCTGAAACAGATGAGAGGTACCACAAATGACAAAGTTTACTTACTTTAAGTACAGTAGTACTTAGTCTTTTGGAAAAACAGATGCAAAGACATATACTCATATACAGATATACAGTACTCATGTCTCAAACCATTCACCTGTGTTTTGGATGAATTTATGTAAATCCAATGATTTAATAATGAACACTGTAAATCATGCAGTGCTGTTGTTTTATTTCACTTTGCATACGGATGAAACAAACACTCAAAGAGCCACTATAAAAAATATAAAGTTTGCCAGAAGACAAATGTGCTGATTTAACAGGATTTTCCTGTTAGTAACAGTCGCTCATAAATACAGGACTCTAAACAAACATGTTATCTTTCAGCGGAAGGAAGTTCCTTATTGTTGTTCTGACGTTCTTCCATGAGAAAAAAAAACCATGCAGGACAATTTCCCAAGCAATAAAAACTAAAACAATAAACTGACATTTCATTCCTTGTCTTTGTGAACTACATTTTAAAAGGTTGCATGCTTGTGTTCTCTGTGGCTGATCACATATAGCTGCTGTCACCTTTTCTAATGCCAAGTGTTCTATTTGAAATAAAACAACCAGCCATTGTTTCACTCTGGTTTCCTCTGCCCTCTTTTAAACATTTACTCAACTGTTTTGATTCATTGGCTTTGGAAAGCAATGATTAATTCTGCAACCTAATATTAAAAATAAAGAGGGGATATTATTTCCATTGCCTAATTAATATATCGAAGTTCATATAAGAAAGTATCTAGACACTCATTACAAGTCTTTGGTTTTAAGCTGTGTATAAGCAGTATAAGTACTGTAGTATAAGTAATTTATGAGTAACAATGAATTTAAGCTATGAGTAACTTGAGTAACAATGAATAATGTATGATATTCTGTCACGGCAAAAATGGAAAATGACTGCTTCCCATCACAACAACTTTTTTCATCTTTGATTCTTAGAATTATCTATGTAGTATTGTGCAAAGCCAGTCATGGTGGAGTGTTTCTTTTAAGTACATAGAAGCCACAGGGCACCAAAATTAACACCCCTTCTTTTATGTAGGGCTCGTATCTTCCAGTATTGAAACATGTTGCACAATGCTACCCTTCGGTTTAAAAATAATCTGTAATTAAAAGAAATCTCTTTCAGGGGTAATTTGTGGTTGTACTATTTTCACAAATGTCTGCACTGCAATCTCCTCATCACCTACAAACACCTACATAAAAAAAGGAAAGGAAAAACTTAGAAAAGAGCAAATCAGAATTGAAATACTGGTTTCCTGGCTATGAATAAACCCATGGCTATATGCTTTGGCAGCAAATTTATGTCTGCAGCCCTCAAGTCTTGGCACCTCAAGACTAATATCACTAATAACAAGGTTATTAGATTTGAGCTCACCAATAGTCAGAGGTCAACCCTTTTAATTTACTGTTAAAACATATACATTTTGCCCTCAACTATGATTAACTGCATTTTGTCATTAAACTGGTAGTCCATGTGTTATGATAAGGGTAGTCATAAGAAAAAATACATACTATATTTTATAGCTGTTAAAGAAGTGGATATTAATTTTCATTTTAAAGTCAATAAAGAATGTGACCCAGTTTTACATTATTTTATCTGGGGACAGAAAAGGTACAGAAAGATTGTAATACCTTGTGCTGTTTTTAATTATTTGTTTCAACTACTTGATATCATACAGTGTTCCTAATGAGGCTGAGCAGTAATAGATCAAATGAGAAACTAGTTTATTTTTACAGAAAGGACACCATAGTCAAATATATTAGAATTCACTACAGTGATATTTTAAGAAAATTGAGTTCTTTTAATCAAAAGATATGGAAAATGCCATGTCCAAAAACAAGGAAAGTCATTGTGGGTCATTTTCCAAAGCAGACAGCCAATGATTCTAATGATCTTCCTAATTAATCACAGATTACAAAGTAAACACTTTTCTAAAACTCAATTACATTTTTTTCAGATTTTCTCATAAATTACGGATTCCTTCCAATCTTCACCGTTCTGGACAACCGTTCTGCATTTGAACAGGTTCTTTTTCCAATTGGACTCTGTGCTGTAGCCCCCATTCACTAGCACTCTGTGAATAATGGGCTTTTTCAAGACATCCATGCAGTCAGACAAAAAGGTAAAAACGTTCCTGTCATAGGAAAGAAGAAAGAAGGTTCCAAATAAGGTTTACCGCTCGCTGAATACCCCCTGGTTTAACCCAGGAAACACTTTTCCACTTGTGTGCTAAGCCCTCAGAGACCTTGGCCATCACTAGCCAGCCCCCAGTGTGAATGGTCAATCTCTACCACATCACAATCTATCGCACTGCCCATTGTGTACACGAGTATAGTGATATCTCATCAATTTGTGGAAAGGAATGATCATGAACTTGGGTTTTGATGAGTGACTGAATTATCTACTTGAACAACTAAATATATGTATAAAATATAGTTTTTAGGAAAGAACTGAGAATATCATGGAATTGCACACTATGCACAGCATGGAACTGTGTTTTACTTATATATACTGTACAAACTGCATTTGTTGGTAATATTTAACCAATATTTCTAAACCACAGTATTTACAATATTAGTAGTATTATTTTTTAACATTGGCTTCAATGTTAACTACTATGGTCTTTTTAAGTGTCTGTCCATGACAGCAGTACAGTACAGTAGGAGAATTCATGGACCAAAACAAACATTCATTCAACTGTGATTAGTAGCTTTTCGAAAGTTCAGAGACAACATAATGTTTAACCTTCTGTTGGAAATTACATAGTACAGCACTGAATACATCATTTGGCACGGGTCTCTTTCACCTATTGTGTAAACAACAAGCCAGATTTTTAGTGGACAGAATTTACTGGATGTAAACTTTGGCTCCCAGCTCTTCTTGCTCAAGAGTGCACATTAAGCCTTGGGTCAAGGGCTGTTTGTGTGTCCTTCACAACCAATACCACTCGAGGTTTCGCTGGCAGACTCGAATCAATAGCCTGGTCTCAAGAACATCATTAAGCCCACTGAAGAAGATGAGAGTGTAAAAGGTGGGACTGGTTTGATATGCTTCCTTCATGTGGTAATGATCCAAGGTTTAAGGATGTCAGCAGAAAGTGCTATAAATGTGTAGTGGTTACACAGAATAAACAAGAACACTTTAGGTCTGGCTCTGACTCTGAGGTACTGACTAGCTCAATTAGCTAACCTTGTTTGCCTTTTCAAACTTTAAAATTTGTTTCAAAATTGTTGTTCTTTCCCTATAATCATGGTATAACAATCCTTCACTTGTATAATAAATCAATACAAATATACCCAAAAAGTGCATATAAAGGTAAATACATTTAGAATTCTGTTGATTTTAGTTTTTTTGAAGCCAAAAAGCAAATGCAAAAATCCAGCAGCTTTGGTACCATGATGTAAGATTACGGATCACCTCACTAATTACTGAAGAAAGCGAAACAAGTCATCTACCCTGTGAGCAACAAGACAAGACAACAGGATGTCACAGATTAAAACAAAATGAGAAACACCAACATTAGGAAATAAAACCTTTGCAAACAGACTCTTTGAAAGAAAATCAGCTCTGTTAGCACACATATTAGTCTGAACTGTCATTCTGTAATAAAACAGAATACTTATCTTTGAGGAACATGGGAAGAGAACACAATTTTTTTCCCTACAAGGGAATACACAATGTAAAAAACCTACTTTGGTATTATAGGAAAACGCAGACACTCATCTAGTCTTAATAGTGATTTCTTCTTCAGTCTTCAGAGTGCTGAGAATTCTGGTATTTGGAAGCCACTCACCTTAGATGAATCGTGATCTTTATATTATCCAAACAGGCTGCGCTGTCTGCACATACAGCATGTCAAGAATCCTCCCTCTGGCACTCACCTGCTCGGCTTCCTGTGGGCCCGGCCCAGCCTGCGGCAGCGCGGAGCCCTCCTGGGGAGGCCGTGGCGCCCTGCGCTTTTTCAGCTCTGGTCGGGGAGACATCCTAGAGATGTTGCTCACGGACTGGGACTGGCCCAATCTGCTAGGCCGTACATTCACAGAGGGGGTGTTTGGAGCCGTCGAACTAACCTGGAAGCAAACAGAAAAGGAAAAGAAAAAGGTGATCTTCGAGTGTCTTGCAGTTACAAACAGAAAAGGCAGGGCTTCATGTCATAACAAAAGGAATCTCACAGACCGAAAGAGGGTTTTCATAAAGGTCTGCACGACTTGAATATGCACCTGCAGTTAAACCCTCAAGAAGCCTTTTTTCACGGTTACAAAATTACAGTTTAGATTAGCTATATACGGACGTGATTCCTTTATGTTTTGGATTTTTGATCTCAGGACAAAGAAAGGTGAGGGTTACAGAGAGCACTGGTGAGTTAAGATAAACCACATGCAGTACAACACACCAGGTATAGGTACATCCTAGTGGTTATTTGTGTTCTTTTGGCCAGGTCTCTACACAAGGTGGTATTTAAAGGTCAGCAATTAAATGTCTGCTTCTGGTCTCCAAGAATGCCTTGGCTTCCTGTTCATTCTCCTTAGTGGTCAATAAAACTTTTGAAATGTCAAGCTCTTTTCTTGTGGAATGGTGTAGTTGTGTCCTTCTTCCGCAGATCTGCTGCCAAAACCCACAGACTGAACTACCACGTTGAGCAATTTCCTTTTCAGTAGTTTTAATCAAAGCAACTTTATTGGGTTGTTTTGTTAGTTACAGATGAGATTTGTAAATAGCAATATAAACACATATGAAACAAAGCAGCCAGATATGAAACCTGCAGAAAAATATAACCTGTATTTTTATTTTGCTGTTACATGGTGTATGTTGACAACACAGCAGATAACTCTGATTTTGAGAGTTTATGCAGAAAAAAATCAAAATATAAATGTATGTTACAGTGAAGGAACAGCTTGATCCAATAGGATGTTACTGGTGTTTTTTAATTAAATTATCATCTATCTTATCTGGCTGAAAATGACGCATGAAAATCCTCTATCAAGCTGGTTGTTAACAAACGTAAAGCTAGTCAGTTATATAACATACTGAAAAGTCCATCGAACAACAGTAGCCGTGTTTACATAGCGGATAAATTTCAGATTTTCCTTCACAGTTGTAAGAAGGCAAAATATGCCTCTGACATAATTCAGTTACTATAAAGAAGTGTGTGGTAAGAAATGGATCTTCTAAAAAGAGGTGGGCAAATGATTTTCTGGCTAGAAAAGGGTTTGTGCACTTAAGATCAATCTACTTGTACTTCTATCATTTTTACTTGCCATTCCATCATTGAGAACACTCACTTACTCAACAGCAATGAGCCATTACAATCGTGGGACCACATCTATTTACACCCTTATAGCTATACACTGAACATTGGATCTTATTTGCACAGAATTCAAAAGCAATTAATAAAATACAAAATCTAGAATAAAAACATAAACGTGTGAAACGTGTGTTTCAGTAAAATACGGTGGCTTCCTGATGCTGAGAATTACATGCAAAAGTGATTTAATAATGTAAACACAAATATGAGTACAAATAATAAAAAGAGTTTTAGATTTGTATGGACACTCCTCCCTATTCATTATATTTCTCCACATATTATGTTATAATACTTTCCCTTAAAGCCAAAGCTGAAGCAAAGAATCACACTAAAAGATGGAATATTAGGAAAATGAAGACAAAATGTTTATTCCTTAACATCAGGTGAAACCTGTTTAAAGTCAGTGAACACCTTTTGACCAAAGAATGCAAATATATCTCCATTTTAGAAAATGAAGTACAGGAAGAACTGGAGAGAAGAACACAAACTAGATCTGCACACCACAGGCATTTACTGAAGCCATGCGCAGCAGAATCACAGCAAAAGAGCAATGACAAAGCGAAAGGCCCATGTATATAAAAATACTCAAAATACATATAACTTTTATGCTTGCATTAACATCCCTCCTTTTGATTTTAAAGTATTATCATTGCTTTAATGTATTTATCCTAGATTCATGATTGAAGATAAGCTTTCATTGTAAATAAATTATTTGCAAGTTGCAAAATTAATAATTCAATGGACGTTTCAATAAAGAAAACTTTTATAACTGCATTACATCCATGCACAACTGATTCCACCAGCTGTAAGAAAAGTTTGGCCCTTTAAGACAACATAGGAATTTTGAAAGGGTGAAGGATGATGAAAATGAAATGCTTAGTCATCTTCAAGGGAAGATTGTTTTAAGCTAAGGGATCATGTATAATCAGTGCATTATAACCTCATTTTGGATGCTAATCCACTTTAACAAAGAAAACATGTTTTGAAAGGTATTTAGTTTTTATCATCAATGGATTCAACTATTGCGTTTTTTTACAAAACTGAAAATTAAAATAGTAAAAAATAGTAAAATAGTAAAAGCTTGTTTCTAAAGTATGAAAAAATACAAATTTATTTTTATCTGCTTCGCATGAAACAATTTCTATTCTGTTTTCAATTACAATGTTTAATTTCCTTTGTGTATGCTGTGCTAAAGTGGTAAGTTTCTATTTCACAAAGAAGAAAACAAGTATACAATAATGGAAAAATAATACTGTAGTTTCTCAGGAATCATCTAAAGGGACTGAAAAGCATCTATTCTACAGTATATCTTGTATTTCCAAATTGAAGAGAAGGGGGTGACTTAAGAGAAAATTTAATTGGTTATGAATTAATGTAATAAAAACATGATTAATGCTCTCCATCATTTTGAAATGTTAGTGGTTGTTTCTATTGTAAGGAAAGTGATTGGATACATACACTACTCAGATATAGCATGTTATAGGACAAGACGGAAGCAAACGCAGTTTGTGAAAAGAATGTAAGTATATATTAGAAAATCTCACTCATTAAAAGAAATCGGATGATTTTTATTTATTTTTTTGCTATTTTTCAAAATGACTAACATATGGCCTTCATAAAACAAATCTGTGCCTTCTGGCAATTAAGCTTCACTCAGTCTTGTGTTTGTGGTATTCCAGAAATGTTATACATTTATACATTCCCACACTGTTTTGCATGACGTTTCATTATTTGCTTAACATTTATAAGGTTAATCAAACTACAGTTATATAATTCTTCAGAGAAATCTCTTTCGGCACAACACTTTTCAGTCTGTCATCCCGTAAGTTAGCTGTAGCAAAGCATAATCTGACTCTATTTAAACAGAAAACTATAAAAATTCTATAAAATTATTTATACAAAAATATATATTTAAGATATTGTATTGTTTCCAATCCTGTTTTTTTTAGTCTTTAGTGATCTACAGTGCACACTGTGTCCTCAGACCTCTGACCAACCACCGGCCTAGTATTTTTATTCCAGATGACTTTCCAGGAAAGTAAGGGACTCTGATTTCTTCTTGTGTCGTTCACACACCATATATTTCATTTGAGAGGTTGCTGTCAGCATGTTAAAATATAATGCTGTATAACACACAAGTTTTCTTCAGTTAACCTACTGCATAGTGTAATCTATTACACTAAAGATTCAGAGAGTTTCTTCCCACAAGCTGTCAGATTACTGAACTCTACCCCTACCACTGGCTCGCACTGATGTGTTTTGTATGTTATTAAGTTAACAACTTGTAGTTGTTGCTGCTGCTGTTCTATGTTTATGTTTTTGGTTTTTCCTTAATGTCTTGTATTGGAGCACACATGCAAATAAGCATTTCATTGCACTTATGCATATGACAATAAAGTGAATTGAACTGAATCTCTCCGCTTCGTAAGTGACACCGCAGTGCTAATGTTTTCACACTAACGCTCACAAGCCCCTCCTGGGAGCCTGAGGGGGTCAACCACTCTCTTGGAGGCAGCACCATGCTCAAAGCCACATGCTCTAATGGCAGCCTAAGCCTGGTCCATGCCACTAGTCGATTAAGACAGCGACTACACGATGAGAGGCAGGAAAACACCAGCTGAGCCTTGCTGGGATTTGGTTGGCAACTAATAGAGCCTAAATGTAATCATCCTTTTTTGTATAGAAAAGTTTATTTTTATTAGAGAAAATGTACTGTACATTTAACCTTTATTTTAAAAGAAAATATTTTATTTTCTAAATGATTAAAATGTGCTTTTTTACATGGAAAACACTGGTAAGTGTTTATTCGGCATCATCAATCCTTTTTCTATCTGGTCCAATTATTCCTCAGTTTGCCACAGGAGTCTCTACTGCTCCCTTACGCAACAGATACATTCCTTTGGCAACAATGTTCAGCCGAGATGGCGCCTTGGTTGGATCCTCCCATTTGCACAACTTCTAAATCTCATCAGACGCTGCTCTGATCACATTAAAATATGCTTGGTTATCTTTCATGTGTTTACAAAACCGGACTCTACTCTAATTTCTCTTCTAACTCTACAAGAAATTCACTTTAGCATTTTCTGCTGCCAGATCCAGCTCAGCTTTGTCTGTGAATTGACATTTGTCTCCCCCCTATTCCAGTTCGTCTAATATTTCACATGATTAAATGGATATACAGTATAGATGCAGAGATAGATACAAGTTTCTGTGGAGGTGTCCCTATTCAGATAAAAAATAATTCATAATATACTGTATGTACTCACAGACTGAAACAAAATCCATCTAACCTCATGAAAGTAATTTTCAAAAAACACACCAAAAAAATGCTGCCATAGTTTGAGGATACTGTATAGTGTCGTATGAAAAATCAAATTGAATAATCATTATTCAGTTGAATTTAGCTTGAGTATGAAACCCTACAGTATATAATATACAGGTATACGCATGAGATATATATAATATTAATGTGTTTAAATTTGTATGAAATTAAATATAATATATCAATGTGTTTAAATGTGTCCTTACTAGTGAAGTGCAACTCACATAAACACAGATGTACATGAAGACACCTTCCAGCACTGTCTTACAGTACATAACTGTCTTCACATGGATCAAACTCCCTAAAGTATGAATGAACCTGAAGGTACACACCTCATATTATTAATACGTTATCACTACGTCACAGTTACATATCTCCTCACAGCACACAGCTGGCATGCATTCTTCTCTTCTGACCTTCAGGATTTTCCAGTATTTTCTGCAAGGTGTTTTATGCTCTGTTCACAGCTTTACTGGCAAAGCGCTACTCCTTTACTAAGCCCCAGTTCTCTGGTATTTAAGACATTGCTGGAGCACCAGAATGGAGGTCAAGCTGACCTGGAGAAGCGCCTAAAGCCTTCTGTAGTCTTCAAACAACGCAGACTGTTTCCTGGGTCTTTACACACGCAGAGGCGTTCTGTCATTTTCTTATTTGGTATATACAGTACATTTCTTGGCAGCTACCCAGCTAGCCTGACAGTAAACAGTGCCAGAAGAATAGTCACATAATAGAAAAGTCAAGAAGTGTATATCTTTCACAATTTTCATTTGACATGAATTGATAGTTATTTCTCTTACATCATAGTATACCTACTGTATGTGCGTTTATTGTTAATTCCTCATTGCAAATGAAAACATTGATTTCAAAACCAAAAATGAATATATGAAGCACAAATATTTCTTAATGAATTACTCGATTAGTAGAAGTATATAACACCAGGAAGATTCTAAATTAACTATTTGAAAAGAAGGTATTGAATATTTATTGCATAAATTACACTAGATGTGATACACTATGTAACTTTAGTAATGTACATATAACAAAATGCTTAAATGTGTATTTGGGAATTTCAGTTTTATACAATCACTTTGGAAAATACTGTGTAATTTAAAATCAATCTTCTAATTTATGTCAATACTATAAGATTAAAAAAAAAAATTCTTTTCATGTTATGTATATTTTTGGAAGTCCTAAAAAAGTGACCTTGCATGTCATGCACTTATCCCACACTCTAAAAATAACACTGCAAACACAACCTACAGTCATTTCAGACATCAGGTGACCTTTTATTTCCAAAGCCTAGTTAAAGTCCCAAGCTGTCGTGTCAAATTGAACCCTGACCATTCACAGTCTCTCTGCAATTCTCCTTTCCTCGCTTGGCAGAAGCTCCATTAGACAAGGACTAGTGGTGCCTTGTTGATCACAGTAGACTCTTCAGCTCACATGAGATCTCATTCTAGTAACACGTACTGTACAGAGGTACACATTGATCTTTGGTATCAAACGAATGTACACTCAAGCCTTTAAAAGGCCTGCATAAAAAAATGTTCTAATACAGTTTAAAGACTGTTCTTGGTCATAATTTCAGATTCCATAAAACATCATATAGCATGAGAACTGGTCCCCTGGCAACATCTCTCTTTGAACTCTTAGGTGTTTGTCTTCACAGCGGGGACTGTAGGGGGATTTCTTGTATAACACACCAGCAACATCTCCTCTTTCACCTGGTAATCTTCAGAGTTCAACAATATGTATACTAACCAAGCCCAGCTCTGCAGTTCACTCGCTAAAGTACCATAACAGATGACAGCTATTTTTTAAAAGGTTTTCCATGTTCTGGAAATCAAATTAACTTTTTTTATTCCGTCTTGTGAAAGACTGCTTTCATGTTAAAAAATGTCTTTGAGCGAGTAGGAACAAGAAAGAAAACACAGCAGTCCTGGGCCTGGAGGACCACACTACAGATGACACCACATGTCTTAAAGGAAACAAAAAGACACCTGTCTCAGGAAAATAAGTTATCTGGTGCAAAAAAAGAAACTAGATCCATTAGCAATTTGATATGGGATTGAGGGTAAAAAATGATTAAACGTTAAAAGAGTATGAAGAATTGTGTCTTAGTTCTTGGGAAGAACTGAAAAAAACTGTTCAATCAAAATAATTTGAGAAAGAAAAGATTCCCATACTATATAACACAGTTTTCACTTACATTTTATATGCATTCCTAGAAGAATCCACAAATGGTTCATATTACACATCCTATTACATATGCCAATTGCTGTTCCAATTCCTTTTCATACCATTTCGTAACTTCTATCTGCTATAGCAATAGAGCTGTTGAAGCTCGGCTGATTGGATGTTGATTTTTTTCTTTTCTGTTACCACATGACTTGGAAGCTTTCATGGTATTTATACCAAACTGACTCTTAAATCTGAGAATTATGAAAAGCTTTACTTTGCTGTTAATGTTTGGTTTTGAGATTAAGTTGTTTTAATCAAGGTTGGTATTTGCAGTGCATAAGAGATGTAGAGATGAAGGAATAAATAACACACCGAGGGAACTACTTTTCATTCATAATTTGAATTCCCAAATACATTCTCTTTCACGCTACAACATCATAATTCTGTGCCTGCAAACATCCTTTTTTATATTTAATTGTATTTTCTGCATGAAGTAAATACACTCTTGATCAAACAGCCAGAGCCTGCAAAACAATGCTGCCATCTAGAGTTAAAAACCTGTTAAACTGATGAAGCATTAACTTAAATGGCACTGGAAACTTAACAATGTACCATACGCTATATCGCAAGGGAGAAATAATGGTTGAACGGAAACGGGAACAAATGAAAAGCAGAAATCCTCACCAAAATAAGAGTTTTTGATGCATACATGAAATTATACTATCTATTAAATCTTGAAAACATTTAAATTGTGACATCCCAATGAAACCTAAAACGAACCTTGGTTGAAAATATAGCCACAGAATGTATTATAGAATTGCTGAAAGATGCTTGTACTGTACATAGATTTTCTTTCCCTTCCTTCTTCGCCTGAACCTCATGACAGCTAAGTGTATACTAAGGTCAGCACTGCAGCAGTGCTCCTGCAAATGGGACAGACCCAAATCCACACGATTCCTTGGCATGTGTACAGGAGGTGACAGGAAACTGAAGTATTTGCAGAAAACCAACTCAAACATGCATTGTAAACTCCACCTAGGACAATGGATCTTTACTACATAAAAAAGGTTACATTTGTATGTAAAGCTCACACAGGAAACTCGTCAGCATTGCTCAAAGCTCTGAAGCCCATTTGTGCAGAAACAGATTCCTGAAAACTGTTTTTTAGTACTGAAATTCTTTCTTAGAATTAATGACAGCTTTAAATAAAAATATAATGGCAAACACATAGTTGAACAAAAATATGGTTAAAACAAAACATGGGTCATAAACTAGTTATTCTTTATGAATCTGTAATGTATTTCAATGAAGATTACTACTGTATTTTATTAAAGAGTCACCAATTGTTTTATATTTAACTGGTTTACTCATCCAGGAGATCCTAGAGGAAAATTATTTTCAATATTTTCACATGAGATCTCCTATTTAAAAATGAAAGCTTAACGTTCATTTGTTCTGAGCTAGTACTTACACCATGGTCGATTTCACAATTTTGAATATTTTTATCATCAGTTGAATCCAGGTCCGCCAATCTTTGATCTTCAGTCTGAAATGGGAATATATTACTCACATGCAGGGCAAGGCAAAGCAAAAGCATTAGTGATAATACAAGCAAAGGGCTTCTGTACAGAATATGAAATGACTAAATGCTCCATCACTGCAACTCAAACCTCCCTGAACAAGGAGTATTCTTCTGTTAGTAAGTTATTAGCTGTCAACTGAGAAGCACAGCTGCTGTGGAAACAGTACTACTGTACAGTATATACAGTCATGTCTGCTGAAATAAACCACATCAAACTAAGCTTGAAGATTTGTACCAACACAACACATTGAAAACACAGTTCGAATACAAAATACCACTTTAGACAGTTCTAGTGAGGATGAAATTTACACATTAGTCATCCTGAATAAGGAGTAGGAATGCAACTCTAGGAAATGGTTAGAATTTGCTCGGCTCAGACTCACAATCAAATGGTTTAAACAGTATAGACCCCATATATATAAATCTGAAACAAATGTGTAGATATTACATGAGCAAAACTTTGTTTACAGTATTGTTTTGGCATCGGCCAATTTCTGCATATTTTGAAAATAAATATACAGAAGAGAATCCCTCTTTATCACAAAATGCTGTCATCTTACTTCCACAAGACTGACAGTATGCTACAGTAAAGTTAATACGACACAGATACCTTTAAGCACTTTCTCACTTATTGTAATCAGAGTGAATGAAAATGGATTTAAGAGAAATATGCAGGATGTTCTACATACATATGGACATAAAAATGCAAAATGGTGGGGCACTATAAGTTACTCAACCCTTTTTCTACAAGTCTCTAGATTGGACACTGTGAAAGGCCCTACCTTGGTTTTTCTCCTGTTGAATTTGATGAATCCCAGAAGGCTTTTCCTTTCAGAGGCACTGTTGCTTAAAGAGGAAGAACGAGTGGGTTCTGCAAAAAGACCAATCACTAGTGTTCACTCTCGTACATAATCTGAATATTAAAATGTTCCTTCATCTACATTCTTAAATTCAAGCTGAGATGTTAGTATTCAGTAGTTTCATTGAAAGCCATGCACATGAAGCCATACAAAATCTGTATTTGTTTAATACATTCAATGTAAAATTAAAGAGCAATTTTCTCAACATGGTCTAAACATTGTGTTACTTAAAGACAGAAATAGACATGAAGACTTTTTAATGCAATGATGTTCATCATGGCAGTCACAAATGGTAAAGTAACTACGTATGTGCATCAGATATCACTGTACAAAGGGACAAAGCTTTACATTCTATTTCATTAACATACTGTAAGACTGACCAGAGACTACTGTACACATATCAATCAAAGTAAACTGAATTAAGATGGTTAAACTGGCTTTAGGATTAATAATAAGCCCTATCTGTGAACTGTGGCAAAACACGGCAGATGAGATGTTAGGTGAAAAATAGTTCCAGTTTGTTTTGTATTTAGCAGATTCTAAGTGTTACTGCCTGGGAAACAGCCAAAGTCAAGTTTAAATGCAAGCCTCATGGCAAAAAATAAATATTAGAAATGAGGAATATTAAGTAGTGCTGTGAAAAAATGACTAATAATCAGCCAGCCAGCTACAGTAAAGTTTACATGTAGTGGAGGTCACCAGTGCACAGATGATGCTTATGGTCTCGAAAATTCTAACTCTTTGATCATAAAATAGAAAATCTTTCTATTACTGAGATATTTTTTTAACACATGGAGCCTCAGGTTACAACTAAAAGGCTAATTTGGGAATATTATGCATTTCAACAATTTAGAAAAAGATCAAATAATGACTAAACATCAGGCTATTTTTATAAAAGAGAAAAAAAATATTTAAACATCGAATCATACATTTGGCTATGATTGGTGTCAAATCTGAATTCCAGAGAATAAAAGGTAGAATCATTACATGATACAAGCCAGAGACTAAGAGCGGAGTTAAGGAAGTGAGGTTTAACAGCACAGCATAGAGTATTGTATACATTCAAAGCTTCAGTGCAACTACAGTGCCAAAACAGACTTCATGTGAAACAGTACCTGCATAGTTAAGAACTGGAGCAGAGTGCATTTTAGAGTGTAGAACTGGAAACAAACAATGAAGATAAGGACTGAGAGCTCATCACAATATCAAATGTACAAAAGTACAAAACGATAAATCCTGATGATGAGGAACGCTAAATTAAAGATGAAAAAATATGAAGATGAAGACTTTCTTTTTGCTATGCTGAAGCAATAATACACAGACTGTATATGACCTTTCAGGAGTGATTGGATAGTTGCTACTGTACATCCGGAACTTGCACTTACAGTAGCTTCAGATCAATTAAAAATGATTATAAAGTATATACTGTAGGTGTCTCTCAAATGACCCATTTTAATGCATCCATATTGTCAATTTCTGTTTTTCTCTGTTGTACTCCTTACTCTACAATACAGAGCACTGCTAACAGCACTTCCACCCGAGCACTGTGAGTGACCACATCCTCAGCAGGTTGCGAGGAGCCCAACCCAGCCTGCACAATGCTGGTGAGACCACATGTATCTGAGCGACAATTCAGAGATGCTAATCAAGCTGGACAGGATGTCTGTGGGTAGCGGGTGGAAACCAGAGCACCTGGAGAAAACCACTGTGAACAGCGGGAGCAGCTGCAAGCTCCACACAGAGAGAGATGCGAGCCTACAGCCTCTCCAAGCCACCTCTAACACTATAGACAGGCAATGCATGAAGGTGTGAGGATCGGCCCTCCAGGGAATTTTCACCCCAGGCTGTCCTCATCCAAGCTCCTCCTGCAAAAGCTGATCCTGCCCTGTGTTTGCTCGGTATGAATGTTGTCAGCAGAGACATGAATCAACCGACGTCCAATTCCACGCGTCAAGCCAGATCGAAGAAATCAGCTACAAACCGCAAAACCAGTAATGAGCACCAATAAAAGTCCTGTGCAATGAAGCAGAGCAGCTTTAGCAGGGAGGGGGCTCTTTAATTTTGAGTTTGACATACAGTATACATACATGATATATTTATCATGTGTTGCAGTTATAATCATGCAAAGATCTCCTTTAATAATTAAGAATATACTGCATGTTTATTAATGACCACTGACATATCAATTATGCTTTATGTAACTGAGTCATTTTCACTGCATTAACTTTAACTTTGGAAACTGAATTTTTATGAAGCACTTTAACTTACCACGGCTTTGGTCCAACACATAGAGCTCACGAATTCCTAAGTCACTTATTGATTGGGAAAGATCCAGTTCTTTGCTGCTAGTATTGTCCTTCAGTAAAATGACATGCCTGGGATCAAATTCACATTTCTCACATATGACTGAAATTAAAGTCTCCAGTGGCACAAGAGGATTTACTCTCACCACAGCCTTCTGTGTCCTGTGGTAATTGACAACCAGCCTCACAGTTTTCTGTGGAATAAAAAAAGGAAAGAAACATGCAAGTCTTTAATACACTCTCATCAACTCATTTTACAGTAATTCAGAGTACAACACACACAGGAATAATAAAGAACATTTAGAAAAATGTTTAGACAATGCCTGTCATGTAAAAAGTCTCCTTTGATTGTGGCATCCTGGATTATGTACAGTATGTACAGTACATCAGTGTGACTTATCTTTGCTGAGGTTGACTGTGAGGTTATAGGTCAAAGGTTGACATCCTGGGCACTAATTGCTTTGGAATATTTACTCAGATTAACATAAAGTCTGAAATATGGTCACTTAGGTATACTCCACCAGTTACACTTGCCCTGGGTAGTATTATAAAGAAAAAAATACTTCTCACAATGTAAGCTAACTCTCAGAAGTGTCTTATTTTATTTATTAAAAGACAGATGGCAAAATAAAAATGAACATCCCACAGCTCAAAAACAAGTTTGGTTTTGCACTTATACCGTATAATAAGGAAAGAGATAAACAAGGCCTTCCCAAACTTTTTAACTGGACATTTAGATGGCAGTGGTTTCAGTTAAATACACACTGCAGTACAGCGAAGGTTCAGGGAACCAGGGAAGGTCTTCAGACAAACCCAACCTGCCACTAGAGGCCATCACCGACACATACTTCCAGATGTTCATAAAACAGTTCTGTCCTCCTTTCTGTGTAAGCAGTGTACCCACTTTCACTAAAGAAAGGTGTTTAATTGGCAGGTTTACTGTTGTATATAAGGGTGACTCTTGATGATTAGCAAAGAGCCATGCTCAAGGTAATTGAAATTTGAAGTTTAGTTTTCCGTAACAGTATTAGCTTTTGAGGGGTAGTAGCAATAGGGCCATAGGTGTCATACTTTTTAATAATTAATATTGTCTCTAAGAAGCCCTTTATTTTATAAGGTTGTGTTAAAACAACCTTAAATGTCTTTAAACATATTTTCCTCAACAGTAAAAACAGCCGTGCAGGGTGTTTTTCGTGCCCTGAGCCAGGCTATCAATCTTAATCTCAACAGTAAAAAGAAAACGAGGAGACAACTGTATTGATAATGAACATTGAAATAATGCTGAAATAATCTGATTATCTGAAATAATCAGATCATGGAAAAAAACATGTTTTGAAAAGTGGGACATAAATTGTATCTCAACACGTAATCTACAGGTAAACGGTGGCTTGGCATGTGATTTACCCCATTCAAAATCTCCACATTGTGTTGTTGTCTGAGCGTGCAATAATTACAACTTTCATATGACTTTAAATGAACCGACACAATCTACTCTAAACTGTCATATCTAAAAATATATTGTAGTGAGCAAATTAGATGTTTTTAAAAAAGTGAAAGCTTCTCAATTGGATGCCTCCAGAATTAATGGATCAGTCACTTCCCTCAGATACCTACCCAGTATCTACCCAGTTACTGTATATAAGAAATCGACCATGAAGTTCAAGGATGTTTTGAAAAAAACCAGGGAGAGTGACACAGAGGCACAAGTCAGGAGAAGGTTACTTTCCCAGTGAGTAAGATGCAGTCCATCATTAAAAATTATAACATGTATCGTACCACCCAGACACTGTCTAGATCTAGCCTCCTACCAAATCCAACGCCTGAGAAAGCAGGGAACTGGTTATGCATGCCCCTGTGAAGCTAACAGTGACTTTGAAGATGTGCAAAGGTCTTTGTCTGATGAGAATCACTGTGGACACAATATCCTGGTCCCTGCAAAAAGATGGCCTGAATGGGCAAGTAACAGGACAGAAGTCTCTACTGATGAAGATGTCTTAAACTCAGCTGAGCTGTTCTGTAGACGTGTGGTATAAGGTGTTATGGTCAGATGAGTCAAAGATTTTAGGTCTACCTACAAGGTGTTATGTTTGGCGTAATCCCAACACAAGTGTGGCAGCATCATGTTATTCAAAGACGTGAAGCACAAGGCTGATATCACTGTGAATATCCTTGAGTGGTGCAGTGAAAGTCCTGTCTTTAATCAAACAGAAAGTTTATGGCATAGCATGGTGATTGCTATCCATCCACTATCTACAACAAACTGCCAGGAAGAGTGAACTAAATTACACTATCCCACTGTGCAAAGCTGGTAGACATCCATCTAAAAATACTGACAGCAGTAATAACTGCAAATGGTGATTTCAACAAGTTCCAACAAACTTATACAGTTCTGAATAAAAAAAAAATCATTATAAAAAATGAATATTTTGTGTATTTAATAGAACAAATATAATATCAACAGGGGTAAATACTTTTGATAGTCACTGTACATACTCCTGGTTTATGAGCTTGTACTTTATTCATGCTGCTTTTCAAACTTGACTTAGATTAGTAACTTTTATGAAATCCAAAATGAATTTACATCTGACAGTAGAAATGTTATCACATGCTGTGTGATAGTCTTTCTGCATACAGAAAACTTCAGATGGAACTATTCCATGGTAATGACCCAAGGTCATGGCTTTTTAATGTCTCTTATCGCCACACCAGACACAAACGGGCCAAGAATTGTGGTTCATTTTTGTCTCAGCAAAGTGGCTACATTTTTCAATAAAATGTAAGATTGATGTACTGGATCTCTAAGATATTGAAAGTTAATAAGAGACTGTGCTATCTCTAGCTGTACATTTTCTATGTGCAATTTCAAATTGCATAGTTTTATCTTGTTTTTGTTACTGGCTTTAGGCTCGATTTCTAAGATATCTAAAAGATATCATAAGCAAAATACAGAAGATACAAAAGACCTCTTATTCCAGTTCTGTCAAGAAAATATTGAAAAGTATTGGAAGGTAATTTTTTTTATATGAAGTGCTGAAGCTTCAGAAGCATTAGGCACTCTGATGTGACTTATTTTAAAGTAGCAAGGACAAATAAGGATTTCTAATTTCTAATCACATTTATTTAAACTATTTCTTAATAAATCTTTCTAAACTCTTTATTGTCTAATTCTAGAATAGAAATAGCAACAACACACAAATGAATAAAAACCAGACACACATTTCAATAAAAGTATCCAATAAGGTTTTGTGAAGAGGACTCTACAGTAGCAAACTGTTGTGCTAAAAGACCCCTCTTCTAGACTCATGAATCACTTTTATCTTACATCGTGCAAACTGTGACTTCACAGCCCAGTTTCAAAACCAACACCACTGAAACCTTGAAAAGGGAGATTTAAAACAAACCAGAAATAAGGCTGGGAGCAGCAAGAGTGATAGAAATAATGCATGGTAACTAAAGGTAAGGAATCCATTAAATATTTACACGCTAGGAACAAACGATCAGGAGACACATGAGAAAAGTCACTCACACCGTAGTAACAAGGGATGAATAAGTCCTAGTGTTTGGAAATATAAGCCTACCTTTGCATGTGCTCTTTTGTGTATTTGTGGCGTTTCCTGAAATTATTCATAGATTAAGTAGTTAAAAGGGTATATTATTAAAACAATGAAAAGAGCAACAAGAATTAAAGCACTCCATACTCTACATATCAAAATTACATATTTTTGCACATGAAATAAAACCCCCAAATTACATGAACATTTTAACTGTACAGAAGAACTTTTGTGCAATTGTCATTTCATGCTGTTAGCAGTTATGTATTGCTGAAACAAGTATACACCAAGGAAAAAGATAAAAGTTTGCTATAATCTAGGGGAATCATCTTTGGATGTGCAAATTCTTCTCAAATATATTTTGCTACTTATTTGAATAAATGTAACTAAATAGCCTAAAAACCAATGGTAAAAAAGCATGACTTCTTTCCAGCCACTGACAGTCCAAGAGCTTGGGCGTGATGAACACCCATATGAAAATAACAAAAAATAAACAACACTGGTTATTTATAATAATTTATAAAAATAAACCATTTTATAATAATGTGCCATTTATATGAACATATAAAACATAATGTACTTACATTAACATACAGAGATTCCTTGTTTTTACTTTGAAAACAAAAATGACTAACGGAAAACACTCCATATATTAAAACAAGCACAGACCATGACCAGGATGTGATACAGATCCATTGGGAATACAGAGGAAGAATTAACAGATGAAACAAACCTTAATATACTTCTAGGACTTAGACAAAATGTCAAGTAGTATTTTTCAGATGGTGAAGTCATGCACTGATAGAGGAAGAGACGGAAAATGCCAGGAAACAGCATACTGTTGTCACTCACCTCTGGCACTTTTGGTGGGGGTCTTCTGACTTTCTCCTCTATTACTTTTTCCTTGATCAATACTTTGTCCACATCCAATGTTCCCAGCAGAGTGTTTGGCTTGAAGGGCACTGGTTGAGCGTCAGAGGACAGCAGCTCCAGGGTGTGATACACTGGGTTTAAATGGTACTGGCTGCACAGGTCCACGAGCAGATCCATGAGTGCCTTGCTGGAGAGGCCAGTAAACACCGTCATTAACAATGGATAGTTAAGGATTCAATTTCTTCTTTAGCTCCATCAGGAGAGCCTTCAGTTACACAGTGTTTTAATGGAACAAAGAAGGAGATTTAATTTAGCAAAATTACACATGTATTAATATTTTTGGGGTTATAAGGTACATAACAAAGAAGGGATGTTTTCTGTATAAAGGATAGTCATCTATGGGTTTTCTGTTTTTGTCTATATTAAAGGAAACCTTCTTATACTGCATGAACTAATGAACTGCAGTTGCAAGTACAGACTGTGAGAGAACCATAAGAACAGTTTAATTTCCTTGGGCTGAGAACACATCTCACATTGTAAAAAAGATACTGGTCTTTTTGGCTTCCAAACATATATACAACTAACACACCATGTGCGATTGAAACAAATGCTTACACACTCACATGGGATTAGTAAAAACAAAAAAAAAGATCAAACAATAACTGGTGTATTTACAAATAGCATGAAAAACATTGTCTATTAATAGTTGGTTTTAATAATGTCCAGAATTCCCATTGTGTTAGCAAATGCCATGGTATTTTGTGTTAAATTAAAGAAATAAGTTAACTCCTCAAATAATTTGGTTAGGTCATCATGTTTGACCAACAAAAAGGTATTGAGCAACATTTAGTGTTTTAGAATAATTAGTTTAAGCTTAAGCAAAAGGTTTTTGGTAAACACCATCACCATTAAAGTGACACACATGTACATTTTTAATATAGTGTAAGCATAGCCAAATAAAAAAAAAACATTCTATAAAACTGTTAGGAAAAATAACAACACTACATGTATATACAAACATTAGAATGAAAAGTCTGCAAAATAACAAGTTTAACCAAGTTTGAAGTGAAGTTTATTTAAAGGATTCCCTTTGATTCCTGAAGTGTTTTACACTCAGTTCTTAATGCTCTGTGTTATTAGGACATTTCTAGACACCAGCAGGCTCTGGAGAGCTGAACAGTCTGTCTTTGCTCTTGACTGTTTTCATGTCATGGTCAAATGCAATGACTAGGCATTATCTGAGCTGTGGTGTACAATTCAAAGCAACCCTTCAAAATTGTGGTTGCTAGGTCTGTCACAGACATTTCCGCTTTCCTAAATAAAACAGCATTTGCTTTTTAATATGGTCAGTCCCCTCCCTCCAGTAGGCAGGAGACACAAACTACCACGTCTGAGCTTCAGCAGTGAAACAGACAACCACACATCGAAGCACCAAGAGTCTTTCCATCATCCGCAGTTCCCCAGCAACATGTGGTCTCCGAGCTGCTGCTCATGTGGTCTCTACTCGGCCTAGTATCCAGTAAAAACAGTAACACACAAGGGGCAGCCAGCAGATAAAAATTTGAATAAAAAACAAACTGCAGACACAAAAATGTAATGGAATCCAATTTTATGTGAAGCAGAATGAAAGATATTTTTTTACAGTTTGATCTGAGAAGAATTGTCCTCATCTTCTCTCATTCTAAGCTTGTGTTCAACTGGGTTTGAACGTAATATCAATACCTTAGGTTACCCATGGCTGTCTTTGAAATATACTTTGAAACTATACAGGTTTAGCCCAGATCAGAAGTTCACAATCTCCGGAAAGCAGATGCTGAAGGAATTATAGAGTTGAAGAGAAATAAAATGGAAAATATAATAGATATACAATCGTTGGAGAACAGATGGCAACAGTTTAAACAAATTCAACTTGAAACACAAGAGTGATTTATAGGCATTACAAACGTTTGCACGGTTATGGTGACAGAATCTATGAAGGTAGCTCTGCTCCCTGACTGCCAGTTCTGATCATTAAATTGAAAATAGTTCCAAGTGTTGTACCAATCTGAACTGTATTTTGGACTGACGACTGATTTGCTCTCAGAGATGCAGGCCATTTAGAGAATCATGATTTGGATGCCTGTGTTATATTGATATTTAAATACACTTTAAAATAGAACGGACTAAGGGTTTAATCAGGATAAGCAACGCTTGCTCATGCATGAACAAAGACTCATTATAGTTGCGAATACTCTTGCACCGCTCCTACACTTCAAACATTCTACTACAGTGAAGTTTAATAAATGATGGAAAATGAAAAAAACAGATATTGCAGCTCTACGTTTTTGTAAATACTGTATATTGTAAATACTGTACTGTATTTCATGTATTTGGATCATCCTACAATGTCCGATCATCCTACAACTCACGAAAAGAGTAGCGGTGTTACCCCAGTATCCTGGCCAAATTACACATTGTCCTTTAACAATCAAGGCTAACTAATAACCCCCATCTATGAATAGACTTCATCATTTTGTTCTCCTGCCCACTAATAGCTGGTGCACTCTGGCTCCCGTCCCCAACCAAGTGGGGCTGCAGTGGAGGAGTACTTGTAAAGCAATTTGAGTGGACAGTCCAGAAAAGTGCTTTATAATTGTAAGGAAAAATAATAATAATAATGATGATAATAATAATAATAATTATTATTATTATTATTATTATTATTATATGTTGGTTGTGCTGTGTGAATCTGTAGATTTCTGCCCACCTTCCGCTCACTGTAGTCCTGGTCTGGAAGCCCTGTGGCAGAGTGACCAGGAGGTCCACTGCATAGTGCAGCACGTTCTCCTTGGCCTCTCCAGCAGGGGGCCCTGTGGTCTCTAGGCTTGTGGGTTTGGCTGTGTTGAAGATCCTGCGTGGGGCCGGCTGAGGAGCTTGAGGGGGAGGTGGGGCTCGAGCCTTCATTTTCCTGCTCAAATTAGAAAATTATGAATCAGTCAAAGAGATACTGTATATTTAGATTTATTAAGAGGCTGTGTGTATTGCTGTTTTCAGGAGCGGAGGCAGGAGGGCTATTTTCTGTCTTAGAATCTACTGAGGACTTCTTGCAACAAGTCTGAACAAAATATCCCAAACAATAAAAGAAGATAAGGAGCAATAAAGTGTGTAGATAAACACACAAGAAAAGTGAAATCGTATAGCACTCTGAACAGATTAAGATAAGAGGCATAAAATTGTACAGTCCATCAGTCATCTCTCAGCATTTGTAGAAGAATAAAAAAAACACACGAGATAAAAATACTACTAATAATATATATAAGGCTTAACATATACTGTAACATATACAGTCTCTTGCCTTAAATGAGACATTTCATTTATTAAATCCAAATGGCATTTTAAACCAAAAAAATCCAACAAACTCTGCTTCAGTCTACGAAAGACCCCAAACCGGGTTAAAAAGTTAGCAGGAGAATCACCCAAGGCACAAGGCCAGATCTACCCTGGAGTGGCTTAAGAATGACAGTGAATGCCCTTGAGTAGCCCAGTCAAGGTTCTGAGTTGAATTCTGTTGAGCATCTATGGAAAGAATTGAGAACTCCTGTCCAAAGGTCAAGAGACCTTGAGCCAATAGGAATGGGTAAACATTGCACCACCATAGTATGCAAAGATGGTAGAAACATTCCCAATAAAAAAATTATTGGTGTAATTTCTGCAAATGGTGCTTCCACCAAATATTTTTGTGGTTCACAGATTTAAATACTTATGCAATCAACATATTTTTTTCATTTCAGTTTTTGCTGACATGTACTGTAACTCATCTTAGCTTTTGAATTCTTCAGTTTGAGCATTCACATTTTGAATATTTTGAAAGTTTCAACAATGTATCGTTTTGCAATTTCACAAAATGGGACCATAGGAGCTGCCTTAGTTTTGCAGGTTTTGCAGGGTGAGTTCCTATTTACAGTTACAAATGCTGGTGTAATATGAGCGAAAGAGCACTATTTTACCTGAGACTATGATTCCAGTGCACAATCAAGAATTCAGTATAGTTTTAGTACAAAACTTCCAAACCAAAAATATAGCAAAAATATAATTAAAAGATACACTGAACAGCTACAAACAGCATTGTCCAGAGAAAAAATGACAATACAAATTCTTGAACTGGAACAGTTAATGAAGCATGTATGGATGATTAAACATGTATCCAATTTTTTGCCCATTAAGTAAGAATGAGTGGAAATGCAAAAGTAATCTAAATACATTTGTAACGTTTAGTTGTATATAAAAAATAGGAATGTATCATTTTGACAGTACAGTATTTTTCTTGTTTTTTTTTCAATTCACATAATCAGATTAATATACAAAACTAGAAAAGTACTGTATAATTCTTACATAAACATTATTTGGTGAGCTACTTGTATCAACAAGACATTGGACTAAGTTGATCATGTTAGCTTTGTTTAGAAACTTTCACAAAAGGCTTTTTTATCACATCTAGTAAAACCTGAAAGTTAATAACAAAGATGATAACATTGCTCCCTTAAAGAATACTGAATATTATGGTGTTAACCGTGTTTTTATTACCTTTTTGCCAAAGGACTTTGTGAAAAGTGCTAAAACTATTCTGAATGTAATCCTGTATCCTGGAACTTCAATGTACAGGATCGCAAGAACATAGTGGAGTCCACTCTGGAGCACAGAGCTTTTCTGCTCTGATACAGAGGAGTTTTTCTACTGGCGACAACACATGGACTTCACGCTGTGGAAGTGCCCTGAATTGTTACACTCGCACTACAGGTACGTCCCTAGCAAGCAAAATTTGGAAAGCATCATCTGGGACTCAGCCTGGTTCTACTGACCCTTTACTCACAAGATTACAGCTCCTGGAAATATTACCCTGACTTGCTCACTCTTCTTGTCTAAAGCCATCTGGGAAAGCTGGCGTAGAATACTAGCATGTGGTGTCCCCCTCCTGGATACCAGTACACCAGCTCATAAGACCAGGGATGTGGAGGCCACTATCTCCAAATACAGTGTAAGTGGAACAGCAGCTCTGCAGTTCAGACTGTTGAGCACTACACACTTTCAGGAAGATGACTCCTTGAAACCATTGATAAGCAGTTAGGGGAGTGTTCAGAAGTACTGTATCATGAGGTCATTCCTTGTCTTAAGGACAAATGAGTTGCAAAATGTCTTGAATTCCCCTTGAAAACACATCGCTAATCCTTACCAATCTTGTACCATTTAATTTTTATCACATCATGATACTCATTTCTGTTACGGCAATATGCTTGGAAAGATATTAAATCTTTCCAAGCAGTCCCTAAGCAAGAATATTTAATCTCAAAAGAACAATGTCTGCTTTATTTCAGACTTCTGTTACTGATATGAATTAAAGCAATTTCTAAATGTTTAGGTGAGATTGTACAATACGCTCAGTAAACATTTCACAAAGATTGGTTTTACAGAAGCACACCAAATGATTATATCATAACTTCTACTGGTAATGAGAAGGTTTTAAACAGACCTTTTCTCTATATTTAATTTAAAGTCTTTTGGAAAAATATGTATTGGAAATTGCAGCACATCAAACTGTAACACACAGTGACAGTAAATACAAAGGAAAGAAAAGAAACAGTATTTAAAATTATTTTCCTTCAGATAAACTACTGTATATCTAAAACTATTACACGGACAGGATATAAAGAGCATAGACATTTCAAAACACTTAAATTTAGAATGGTGAAAAGTCTAAACAGAACATAATGCAAATAAAACAATGACGTTATTTAAAATAATGACTATGTTCTTAAAAGGAATGAATATCGTCTTCCACTGTAATTAAATTTATTTTGGTAAATAATGGAGAAAAAGCTTGGGAATACTGCCTTCTCCTTAGAGATCTCTTCAAAACAACAACAACAACAACAACCATAAAAAACTAATCCAGCAGCCCTCCTGAATTTCAGTTTGTCCTTCAGAGGTCCAATCTTCCATCACTGTGCCTGGTTATATTTGAGAAAGCTGGTCCAAAACACATCTGAATATTTTTAGGAACATTTAAAATTAAATAACTTTGTTTTTTTTTGTCTCTCCTTGACTCCAAGCCTATTGCTGATTACATTTGTTCCCATTTTTTTAAATGGCTGGGCCTTGAATGATGAGTAACAAGGAAACCAAAACTGCAGAATTTCTTTCATTAATCAGTGTACTGCATTCACCTAGCACAGCTCTAGCATGTCTCAGAAACTACATTGAGAATTAATAACTTACCCTAAAAGATAATAGAGAATTAAACAAAGCTTTACCCTGGTACTTATTTATACAAAAGGTCTGAATATGGAATATTTATAATACTGAAACAATATTACATTTACAAGCAACAATCTTAAAATGTGCTACTACATGATTAATGATGTGTATTTACAGATACCTGTAGGTATTGATAAACTCTTTTTTGAGTTCTTCTAAAGCCTTAAAATGTAATTTCTATGTGTTTGAGTATTATGGTGAAAGACAAAAACCAAGCATTAAAGATAATCAAAGTAAAATGATTAAATGAAAAGTAATTAAGACATGCTAACAATATTGTCCAAGACTGTTTTTCTTATGTGCAGAGTTTAGGCTTTCAAAGCTTAAATTGAAAGGATTACTATATCTTTTTTTCACCGCAAAGTCAAATGTTTATCCAAAACGTGCATGTTTTTGGGGATCTCAGCATTTTCAAGAATCATAGTTTCACATAATGTACAGTGTTCACAGTGAAAATGTCCAGACTTGAAAAATAATCAGATTATCTGACACTTCACGAAATAACAAAAATATTTTTTATGAACTACATAAGACAAGGTATTATATTGACCTGAACTCATCATTAATCCTCACAGAGCTTTTTGACACCCATTTTTGCTATCCATTAAGCATATTTTTGTAGAAATACAATCAAGGTTAAAACCCTTTCCAATGCCCACCTACATCTACTGTATATCATATCTTAATCACAGTGTTATCAGAAACATGACAGTATGGTCATTCTTCACCTACCTCGGAACACTTGCCTTCTGAGGATACATCTTAGGATTCTTTGGCTATCACAGTTAAAAAGATGACATTTTAGTCCATATACTATATACCACATTACTTATATTTTGTCCATATTTGAATTATATACTGTACAGATTAATTTGTATGATATAAAGATTAAACACCTCCAGCTTGACAGAAGAAAATGTATTTTAGAACCTAGCATTAAAGCAATTCTCAGATAGTCATGGACATCTGCTGTCTTTCTGTAAAACTTTCAAAGTGTCTAATAAACTGAGTAAGTCTAATGTGTAATGAAACGGGCCCTGCTGGAATGCAGTATGGAGTATAATGACATTCCAAAGGCCTTTGGACCTAAACTACTCTTGGTTACTTATTAATCACAAAAGGCCGATGCCCTAATCTTAGTACAGTATAAAAGGAAAAAGCTGCGATACATAATCATCTCTCATGAGTGTTGCTAGATAGATAGCAGTAACAAACTGTTAGCACAGCCACAGACTGCATTTCAACTTGATTTAATCATCAAAATAAAAGATCAGCTCTGGTCTTAGGAAACATTACATTCCTATAATTTCAATAATCAGTGAGATTTTGGACATCTACCATAAAGATTCTGTATTATTCTGAATAATATTTAAAATGATATAACATACAAACCTGACATTTTTTGGTAGGTTTGGGAATCTACAAAGTTTTTTTCAACTTGTAATGACTTTTCACAATTCTAAGCCCAGGAAAATTTATATAGATTAACTTTTTTACTTTTTCAGTGAAGATTAAGTCACTTTTACAACTAAAAGGAAAAATATATTTTTACAGAAAATGCCACAGTTGATTTATTTTCCATTAGCTCTTTCTAGAATATTTAATGTTAAGCAGATTTCCACTTGACACAATGTAGAATGTTCTGTGCAGATGAAA